AAATAATGTGTTGTGTGTGTACATGCTACATGTTGCAAGTTGTCCATTCACTGGCTTTAAGTGTAGTTACCATGAGATATAACTAGCCGCTTTTCATATTTTCTGTGACTCTTGGCACTGCCGATGCTTTTTGGCATTGTGTCAAGAAGTCTCACAGAAATGTTAGACAGTGACTCAAATATGCCAAGCCAAAAACACTGACAGAAAATATATAAAGAGAATACAGTTGATTTTAAGTAGAACAAATATTATACGAAAATATGCAACATAAAAATAAAATAATAAAATATACAAAAATTACAATTTTTATAGAACTAATAAATTACAAAAATAAAAATAAATTTGATTAATTTTTTTAAATGATTTTTGTATTGTATGTGGTATATATGTAGTATAGGATAATAATATGAAATATATTATAATAAATATTATATATAAAATTACGTTAAAGCGCTTCAGCCAGGTGCTGAAGGGCGAAAAATTAATATATTTTTTTAGGTATCGATACTACATGCATGCAAGAATATTAGAGAAGAAAATTTAATTTCAAAATACTCGTGAGTCATGTCTTCAGCATTAGCATTCAAAGTTTTCGAGAGCTCTTGTCTTTATCTTTAAATATACACCGTATTATTTGATAATATGACTGTAGGCCCCTTTAACGCCCTATTTTTTCTCTCAGTGCATTGCTGACATCCGAGTTGCTTTTAATTTTTTATTTTCGTCTGCTTACTGTCGCTTGGTCGTAAGTGCAGCTGAGCAGAGGGAATGTTGCCAGTATTTGCCCGTATGACATGTTCATGACATCTACGCGCCATTGGCTGTTAAAAAAACACACACACACACACAGAGGGAGATATACTCATTTGGCTGTGTGTCATGGAAATTATTAGTTCATTCTACGCTCCGCCAAATGCAGTCAAGCGACTGCAGTCGGTGCACTTTGTGCTCCCTACTCTTTACTCTCCGCTCTCTACTCTCTGCTCTCTGCCCCCTGTGCTCTGTGCAGTCTCCTGTCAGCATTTTTTCGAGTGGCAGCACATAAAAGTATAACAGCTTTTGGCACGCAATTTTAATTGTCGGGAAGTTTTTGAAATGAATTTAAAGTGCATGGCGAGCAGCTCGATTTCATAATCAAAACAATGCCGTTTTTTGTGATAGAAAGAGAAGCCCGCCAGGCAAGCATAAACATCAGCAAATAACAATGAATTAAGTGGGAATGAATAGTGCAGAGATACCCTAGAAATGCAAGGGGAAAAACAGAGGTCAATGACTGAAAATATAATTAGTCTTATAAATCAAAGTGTTTTTTTTTTTTTGTCGCTATTATCATACAATTCATATTTAAAAGTGAAAAAAAAAAAAAAAAAATTTGCTTGATGTTGACAATAAAACAAACTGCAAATAAAACATAAATTAAATAAAAAATGAATTACCCTTTGGCTGGGCATATAGGGTAGAAAATTCAAACCGACTTCACATGCAAACATTTTTGCACTGAAAAAAAGTTTTAAAATTCCCAAAAAATAGCAGAAAAAATAAACGCGCAAAAATTCAAAAATATGCAGAAAAACTACAGCCATACGGGAAAACAGCTGCAGGTGAATTTCAACGATTCTCTGTATAAACTGAACAATGTGAGAAAAAAAATACTATGAGAGCAATAGGCATTCAAACTCAACACGACTGGACTTTCCCTTACTTGTATACACAATGAAGAGGATTAAAATATTAAAAAGTACTTTGCACATATATATTCTACACACATGTATGTTGTATAAATACATATATAAATAGATAGATATGTATACAAATATGTAAATTTAAGCAGAGTATTTTTGATGCTGTGTCGAATGGGAATATTATTATTATTTGTTTTTTTTTTTTTTTTTCTGGTCACAGAATTTTTTGTTTGTGATTTTTGTGAAAGTTTCGTAGTGGCATGTGGCGTTTATTTGGGCAAACATTTCCGTCACAGGCGGCAGGACACGCAAGGACATTTCGTACGAGGCTTGTGCATGCGCCGCAGATGCCCGAACACAGAGGCAATTAATTTCCGCTAGACAAAGGCACAATTACTTCTATACATACATATATATACTTAAGTCAAGCAACAAAAACAAGGCGAATATACCAACAATGGGCGTGGCATATAGCATGCATAGCATACAGCAAATACATATATGATATATAGAGCCGTAGGCAACAAAAGCAGTTCGAATTCGGTTAAGGCAACGAGCTGGGCTTTAATTTATGGCTGCCAGAGCAGAGTCAGGCCATCAGCTCGACCAAATAATTACAGCAGAGTTAAAAAAAATTTAAGACTCGCTCAAGGTCCGAGCAGTCTATGTAAAAGTTACCCGCCCTCAATAAAAAAAAGAGGAAAAAAATGGGAAAGTGAAAGTGAAAATGAAAGTACCGAAAGTAAAAGTTTTCTTCTCGCCTTCATAATTTTGCCATTGTCATGCCCCGTGGGCACATTTTGATTTTGTTCGTTGAAGTTATTGGCGAAAAGTTTTTCGCTTTCGTTTCTTTTATGGCCAACGGCTAACGCGGCGTATACTTAACATGCAGCAAAGGCCAACATATGTTCACAGCTATCAGCTAATGCTCAGTGCCCATAGACCTAATAGCAGATCAATTAGTTTGCACTTTGTTCTTTGATGCCATTGATGCCCGCATCAAGTTTGACATTCCGGCAAATAAACTATTAGTAGGCGAAACTTTGTGCCATGGCCAAGGTAATTAAAGCACATTTGAATTTATTATCGTGTGTGTGTGTGTGGGAAATGCTCATTTTGTCTAGACTTTTATAGGCGATAAATAGTTGAGCAAAATAAAAAAGGATAGTAGGTCATTTGGATATATTCACATGGACAGGCTGGAAAGCCCTTCGAATGTAACTTAAGCGTATAGTTCCTGGAGAGCAGACTCTCCAAACATGGATTGCATACCCAGTGTTTGAGTATGGCTTGTAAAGAAAGAGCAGGATCTCGAATAAATATGAAATACAAAACGAATTATTAAATATAACAATTAACATTTTTTTTTAAATTAAAAAAAAAAAATAATAATTTTTTCAGAATGAAAAAAAAAATTTTTATTATTAAAATAAATTTTTATGATAAAAATCAAAAACAATTGTTAAAGATCAATTTGTATATAAAAATCAGATCATAACTCTTAATTTCATTTTTAATTAAGGCATATATTATAGTAAATTATAATTAACCCCTTAGCAATTTTTTAAGTTTATTCAAAAACTTTTGAAATCGTAGAAAATATTGTAAGAAAAATAATCTATCAAGGTGAACATGTTCCAACAGGCAAAATTTACTACATAAAACAAACAGTATATAAAATAGAGCAATACAAAAAATAATAAAAGAATATATGTTTCAGTGTTACTACAACAAATATACAAGTTTAATTTGTTTTTTTTATTCAAATTTTTTTTTTTTATAAAAGGAATTGTAGAAATAAAATAATTTTATCAATAAATTTATATTTCTTTTAATTTTTATATACATATTTTTAGATAATAAATATATAAAGAAAATAATGCAAATATGCTTGAAAACAAAATTTCTTTTTATATTTCTTCAATTTAAATATTATTAAAAAAATTTTTATATATTTATTTAGCCACATATGTATATAAAATTTGTTATTAGCTTTATCTTATTACACAGATCAGCTGGGCAACTGATTGATAAATTAGAAAAATCTGCAAAATGGCAGCCGAGCTTAAATCTGTAAACTGCTCAAGGTCAATAGCCCTTTAGACTTAGAACAATTTTTTAACGAAGCGCTGTTCATTTTGTAATTAAAAATATGAAGCGGTATCTAATTAACAATTTCTGATAAAGACACGTTCAATATCAAATATATTTGAATTGTTTCAGCTGTTTTTTTTTTTTTTTTTTTTTTTTTTTTTTTTTAAGAAAACAATTTGGTAAATGTTTCCAAAAATTAATTTCTGTTGACGTGTGTCAGGCGAGCAGCAGCAACAACAACAACAATTGCGATTGTTGTCGCTGTTGAAAGGCCAGACGAGCAAACCGAGCAATCCACCAACAAACAGCCAGGCAGACAGACGGACATTGGGACAGACGGACCATAGAATGAATGGGGGAAAAGGCAGCGCAATTATTTAACATATAAATGGCGACCTTTTTGTTTATGTTTCGCATTTTGCAACTTTGGCTAAGCGCCGCATCCCAATTAAATTGTCAGCGAGAATATTTTGTTAGCGTGAATTAATTTCTGTGATTCCGAGTGGGGAGCTGCAATTCGCCGGAATGCGAGCAGTGCGGCTATCAAATGGGAATTGACAACGTACAGGAATCTAATTAAACTGTTTTCTGGCATCGATTTACACTCGGATTTTCTATTTACCATTCTATTTTCGACTGAAAGCATTTGCACATGAGACGGCAGAGTCAATTTGAATATAACTTAATGAAAAAGTCAGCGAATGCCGAACCTGAGCCAGCACTGCTGCTGGTAGTAGGGTCTGTTCAAGGTCTGCGCTCGGCCTGTATGCATAATTACTCGCAATTGAAGTTAATGAGTGAGCAGCGGCTCTGCGAAGCTGACGGATATGACGTAGGCCGTATCCTGCGAGTCTGGAATGTATCCTTGGCGCCAAGTTCCTTAAATTATTGCCTGGGGCTGTCGACAGCCTGTGACCTTAGCACTCAGATGCTCAAAAGCTGCTCTTGGTGGTATTATATTTGCGCCTCTCAACAATATTCGCTTAGGCACGTACCAAAATATTGAGATAAAAAAAAAAAATTAGAAAAAAAAAAAACGAAAAAGATAAACTTTAATTTGCGCATATTCACATGAACGTATAAAAAAGAGAATAGGAATGAGAATCCTCTCTAGTGCTATTCAGCATGTCCGGCTCGTGATGGCTCAACTGTTTGTCAAGTTAAATATCTCTAAAGTTTAAACATACTTAATTAATCATTTTCTCTTCTTATATCTCTTTATAGCTCATATGCGTGCGCCTGTTTTCCCGGCTTCAGTGGCACCGATTGCGGCCACGGACCGCTCTGCACGGATGCGCATACAAATATATGCCAGAACGGTGGCGTCTGCAAGTGAGTACAGTTGAAACAAAACATGTGTAAGAATTTTAAAAGAGTTGTTAATGAAAATTTACATACAGAAGTACAAGATTTACATAGAGTAAAAGCATGAATAACTAATATATATTCAAGTTTGATTAACAGACTTTATTATTATATTCCTACTTCAGGATATAAAATGTAATATGAAATACAATATGCATATATAATCTTTAAAATACTTGTAAATTTTCATATAATATATTAAATATTTATATATATATATATTCAAAGAATATATAAATATATAAAAATAAATTTAAGTATTAATTTGGTTAATATATATTTCAAAATATGTTATACAATATATATTTATAAATTTAAAAAAAAAAATTGAAAAAAAAATTAACTTTATACACTACAAATATAAAATAATTCATTTAATTTTTTTTATATATATTTTATTATTATTATTATTTTTTTTTTATGAAGAAAATCAAACCTAAATAAATCATAAATTCTTTTACTAGTATTACGTAATACCTAATTTTTCAAATATACATATTCCAAAACATAAATTTATTATACATTTTCACTATATCAATCTTTATACATAAGCTAAAATTAAATTTCGTTTTGGATTTCGCGTGGAAATACCAAGTTCTCTAACTAAACTCATTCAACGTCAAAGCTTTTAATAACATTTGTGAAGTGGGACTCAATTATGTTTATTTGCACAGTTGTTTTGAACATATTCCCCTGCGATTACTCTGCTCTGCGCAGACATAAATAATTTTGAACACACTTCAAATATAGCAATAATAATAATAATACATATATATATCTTATATTCAAAATCAAATAATACACATCAATAACATTTATTTGTTTAGTTTCTTGAATAAACATGAGAGGACACGGGATGAAAAGAGTTTTCACTTTTAGCTTTTCAGTATCATTTTGTATCATTTTATTAAAAACAGTTGTCTTTTAACGTTTTATTCAAAAGTGACATGTTTTGCCTGCAGCTACTGACTAACTTTTTCTGCTTTATCAGTAGAGCTGCCTAGGACATTGACATGACATTGAAATTTAATTAAAATATTGAATTAATTTAGTTTTTTATTCAAATAACTTTTAAAATTCAATTATAATCTGGTATACATTTTCTTCCTTCAAATTAAAGAAATATATAATGTATCTGCTTAAATTATGTATAATATTTATTTATTATACATAAACCTGGTTGTTATATTTTATTTATTTTTAGATATAATATAAGTAATAGAAGAAATATAATATAATAAATCAATTTAAAAAAAAAATAAATAATAGAAGGTTTACTATTTGTTAAATATATATTTAATTATTATTATTATTATTCATGTTTTTTTTCTATTACAGCTGAGCTGGATATTTCGTTTTATTTTAATATTAATATTAATATTAATATGAATATTATATTTTATTTACACCTGATATTTTTGTACAATTCTTTTTAAATATTTATAAATATTATTCCTTTTTAAATCACTTAAGATTTCTTAAGATATTTTAAACCTCATCAAAATCCCGTCCCATAATATTAAAATATTTAAATTTTAAAGTTCTGATGAATTTCATTTTAATTGCAGGCACATTGGCGATGCGGCAATAACATGTCACTGTCCCAATGGCTACAAGGGAACCAAATGTGAAATACCCGAAATAGTCGAGGCGACGCAGGGTGAGTAGAGCCCTTACCCCAGAAAGTAAATCAAGTTTAACCAGTCGTAGCAAGCAATAAGTAATTGAGCGTGCGTGGCAGAAAAAACAAAAATTGTTCGTTATATCAGGAATACCAAAAGGAGCACAGAGAGCGATAGCAGCAGAAGGAGAAGGAGCAGAATCAGGAGCGAGGGAATGAAAAGATTGCAACAAATTAAAAATGAAGCTGGAGTGGGGGAAATTTAATTAAGGCAATAATTAAGCATTTAAATTGCACTCGATGCAACGTTTAACGAAACGAAAGTGTTGGAAACGAACCTGAGGTCGCAGGTCGCAGTTTGGGGCACACGACACACGACCCTGCCTCTACCCACGAGCCATGACCCGCCGATTGCATCTGCTATTCAGTCTGGCTCGAAGTGTTCTTTGTCTCCGTTTGCCACGCCCCATTGTTGAATTAGTTTTGTAAATGGGCATCTGTTGCGAGTAGCGAACAATTTCATGGGATGATTTGTCCACATTTCTGCCATAGCGATTGACGTATATTAAATTACGTAAAGAGTTTTGTATAAACTGGTGTTGAAATTTAAAGAAACATGCAACTTGTGGTGGGTAGAGGAATGTGGAATATTTTATATTATTTGCCATTTGTGAAGTTGTGTATATGATTTGCTTTAAGAGATTTTCAACTGGTGTCTAAATAGAAATTTAGTTAGAATATATAGAAATAAAATCATTTTATGTAATATCCAGTCTTAGAAATCCCATATTTCATATCTACTCCATAGACCCCTTATATACTGATGTAGGGTGCATAAGTAATTTATAGTTCTTCATATTTTGACACAGCAACTATTCCACCCGCTTTGCATGTGTCAGAGCGGAACAGAGATCCATCTGTTGGCTTGGCGTTCCCCTGGCAACGTGTCTCTGGAATGACAACGTCATCGAATTTGACATTCGGTTTGGCACAGCTCAGCGAGGGTCAGGTGGGAAATGCATTGGCAATGCGGGAGGAGTTGGGCTGTGATTAGGGAGTGAGAGGGGAGATGATGGCGAGCTTATCTCGGTGGGTGTTTGGCACTTGGCGTCAACATTTCTCGCATTTCTCGTGCGCTGTAATGTCGCTTATTGCATTTTCCGAAAGACTCTGGCCTGGGCTTTAGTTCTTTGTGTGGCTATGACTGGACCTTATTAAATTATTCCAGCTAGCTTAAAGCGTCCGGGCATTCAGCATTCACCTCTTGGCCTTGGCTTCATTCAAATTTGAATTTTGTTTCTCACATTTTATTTTGTGCTTTCAGGTTGCATTGGAAATGCCAGCGTTAGTAATTGCCATCGTGCATGTGAATTTGACAACGGCAACAACTACAACTACAACAGCAACAGCAACAACAACAACAATGGCGCCTCTAGCGCCAGCTCGAGCATTTTCAACGTGCGAAGCAATCGCAATGCAGCACGTAGTGGCAAGACCCGGTACGAGGTGACCATGCGACTGGGCGCCAATCTGACCGGATACTATCGCAATGCGGAGCGCGAACAGTTAGCCGGCGTCATGGAGCGACAGGTGAGTGGGTTATAAAAGCATTCGTACATATAATGGAAAGCACTCTAAGAATTAAATTAGGATTCTTGTAACACTTAATCAGCCCAGACAGGCGGCCAGACTCGCTCTCACTCTCACCCAGACGCTTGCCCTCTCTCCCTCTCATACTCCTTCTCTCATTCGCTTTCTTTCTCTCGTCACATATGCCAACTGCCGATAGCTACGTGACCCACATGATGCGATATGTTACGCTGTGTGAGCAGTTGCTTTAACTCTCACGCGATTTGCGAATAATTTTGATTTTAGTTTATTCTAGTCGAAATAATGAAAAAATGAAAAAAATTATTTTATATTGAATGGCAATAAAAAGTAAGAAAGCTCTAGTCGTAACTGACCGACTACGAGATCCCCCGAACCCTTCGAGCAACTCATATTTCAATAATTATTCGCACATGCACACACACACGCACACACACAGCCATACGCACGCATGCATAAACACGCACTGGCTGCAGTGTGGGCTTACTATGGGAACTTAATTGTTTAATAACTTTTCTTGTGGATGGGCTATCTACATGAAACTTCAGATTATGAATATACAATGATATGCATGTATTTGCCAAAGCATAAGTCTCTAGTATTTGAAATACGCCTTTTACAAATGTGATGATGAGGGGGTGAATTAGGGGTGTGGGTAAATTTTGACAAAAATCGAAATTCTATAAAGTACATATAAATCTACATTAAACATTTAGTATTTCTAGCTTTAATCGATAACAACTTAACGGGACAAGTTATCGATATTTAAACAAAAACTCGATATGCGCGAGGTATACACGGACCTAGGAAAAAAAATTTCAAGTCTCTAGCTCTTATATCTTCTGTGATCGACGCGTTCAAACATACGGACAGACGGACGGAACTTGGATAATTGAATTTAATTTATCGAAAACCTAATGAAAACTCAGTTAGGATATTAAATAAATCATATTATATCTAATTAACTGTACATGATTAGCGTACTTTCAAGTAATGTAATAATGCGACCTGCATAATATCAGACTTCAGTTATCTGTTTTCTCTTTTCGTTGACTTAAGCCAACAGTTTTAACAGTTTTTTAATGGTCAGCGTGTGACAGGCCCTAAAGTTGATGTTGACACCACAAGAGGCAATAGGCATGAGGCAAGAGGCAAGAGGCAAGTGGCAAGTGGCAGAGTCGAGGCATGTCAACTGACTGGACTACAGCAGTTAATATTTTGATGGGAATGTGGCGGCTGGAATCGGAGGAGGAGCAGGAGGCGGCATGGGGCGAGTCGCACTCAACTCTGAGTGATGATGATTTTTGTGTTGGCGTTTGCAGCCTGTCATCATCAGAGAGCAGCTACAAGCACTGCCCGATCCCCTCCCTAGTCCCGTCTCTCTGGTCCGACTGGCACTTAATACCGCTGTGGTTGGCGCTTTGGGGCGACAATAATGAAGCCGTTTCAAGTTGTCTGCTGGCTGTTGCGGTTGAGGCCCCCACATTGATGATGATCAAATTCGCCGGGCCTCTGCATATTCTAATGGAGTGTAAAAAAAATAGGAAAATAAATAGCGAGTGTCATTTAGTTGCGAGTGGGCGCTAATTAAAGAGAGAGGAAGAGGAAAAGAGAGAGAGAGAGAGAGGTAGAGAGAGAGAGAGAGGGAGAGAGTGGGAGAGGGAGTGCTAGGAATATTTGCCCACTCATCGCAATGTAATAAAAACCAGACAGACAGCAAAATACAATCGCAAAAAATTGCATTAATTTAACATAATTTAATAAATGCACAAATAAGCAGCACAAAATATATAAACTGGTGAGGAAAGTCGAGTATGATACGGCCTTTATTATTGTAATTACTCTACATAATTATTGTTATTTTATACTCATTCATGAAGGGGGGATAGAAAACAAAAATTGTTTTATTTCCATGACAGTGTAGCTATATGTTCCGTTGCCGCTAATAAAGCTAGAGAGTGTAGAATTATAAATTGGAAAATATCATATTTTACATTGCAGAAATACTATTAATTCGACTGGGCAGATTAAAATAATATAAATTGGATATATCGTATATACATAGGGTGCATAGTAAATGTAGTAAAACTTATTTTGCCATTTATAAAAATGAATCAAAAGGAATCGCCCATATGTCAGCCAATTATTTGTATTGTTTTTAAATTGTAATGTTTTAAATTTTAATGACAATTTGAATTCAATTAAAAAGGAAAAAAAAGTTCTTATAGATATTTTTAATGCTAGTGACTTCAACTGTGGTCATAAGTTGTATACTAAATTTTATTCATCCATAATATTTATACTTGAATTTAGCCCATTTTATAAATTTAGCAATAAATAATTTTGTTACTTACTTACATAGAAAGGTTACTTACAAGCTTTAATTTTTATTTTTAATTTTAAACGAAAATTTACAGTCAATTAATAAAAACTAATACTTTTTCATTTTAACTAACAAATACAACAATTTTCAAGAATTTAAGTATAAAGAATTACGTCTTCACTCTATAGATTTACAATGAACTGAAATATGAGGAATTGCCTAAAAAATTCAGTAAATGTCTTCCCTTTCACATACACATGCTCACATTTACACGCACGCTGTTGATGTGATGGGCGCTGCTCGCTCCTCACATACTTAAAAGACAATTAACTTAATCCAGCTCAACAAAAATGGGAATTGAAAACTCGAAAAAAATGAAAACGATTTAAACGAAATTCTCTCTAATTCTCTCTCGAATCCCGATAATTCTAAATAGCAAGGGGATATATTTTTATTTTATTTTATTTATTTTTTTATTTACACAGAAATTCAAATTATCGGGAATGATCGAGAACGAATTTTTTTCAAGTAGTTTTGTTTTGTAGTTTTCCGATTTATCGAAATTTTCGATTTAACGGGTTATTAATTATCGAGACTCGACCGTATATTCATCTGAATCTTCCCGGTTAGTCCACATAGTTCTGTGTCAGATTGAGCTGATCCTCCTGGACGCCGCTGCTGCGCGCCTGGTTGATGTTGTGCAGCATATTGCGAACGGCTCCCGGCGTGCGCTCCAGCGAGGCCGTCCATGGGCTCTGAGCCTGCGGCTGGGCATTGTTGTTGGGCGTGGACGTGGGCGTTGGGCTGCCAGCGCTGCTTTCCATAATCGTGGGCATGTTGTGGGCCAGCGGCGCCTGTGCCTCGCTGCGCTCCTGCAGCTGGGTGAAGTTTCCGCCGCCATAGTCTCGGCTGTCGCCGCGCTTGAAGCTGTGCACCGACCGCGACAGGGGCCGCCAGCGGTTGAGCTTCTTGGAAGGCGAACGCTGAGCGGGCGGCGTGCTGCTGCCCGCCTCCAAGTTTCCACTGGAGGTGGTATCACGACCAGCGCCAGCCGCATGCTGCTGCAGTAGATTGGTCACCAGCTTGTCCAGCACCTTCAGATCCACCTTCAGCTGCGAGTTCCGTATGGAGTTCATGCGACTGCCAGCCAAGCTGCTTGGGTTCGTGTGCAGCGAATCGTCCACATGCCGTTTATTTAGACCGGCTATCTTGGCCAAGCGTTCAGTTAGCTGGAAAGATGTGAAGATATGATATTAAATTATATAAAATAATTTATAGTGTATACATGTAGTATATATAGTATTTATATTATATAATGCTCAAAGTTGTGTCTAATAAAATATGGAAATAGACTTGAATGGATTAAATATATTTATATTTAAATTGATACTGATATATTTATTATCGTTATTGATATTTTTGAATTGTATTGATTTTTATTATTGATATATAATATTTATCAAATATATGATATTTAATCTCCATTCAAGCCTATTATATATTATATATCATATCATTTCATATACATAAGTCAGAGGTTGGTTTGATGCATTCTCAGTGCACGTCCTCGAATCGATTTCACTTAATTCTTTTATTTTTTTTATGCCAAGTCCATTTGTTGACTTGTTTTATTAAATTCAGCATTCTTCTGGAGTATCGAAATCATGGCAGCTCTCACTCAACAACACTAGAGCAACGTTCAGCAACTGATTTAGGTCTCTGTCTCTGTTTATCTCTCTCCCTCTCTCTCTCTCTCTCTCTCTATATATATATCTTTTAGTGACACTACATTACAATATTATCAAAATCATCGAAATTTCCAATTCCGTCCAGTTAGATCTTAAAGCCCAATCAATATAAGGAAACAGTCAAATCTGTCAATTATATTTATTATCGATATCGATTATATATTTGACGAAGCGAAACAAAATAGGCAATTTTGATAAATTATTAATCCGACTGCATGTCCCATTCGCCTTTGCCTCAAACGACTTCCCAATTAAACCGCAATCTGAGGGGGAACAATCGGCCTTTGGCACTGCGAGATTTGCCTGCGACTCCGGACAGACAAGAGGGCAGCATTCAGGGCAGAACACCCGCTGCCGGGGCACGTGCCCAATCCCATTCGCTGGGCAGCCGCAAGGATTAACAATGCTGGCATTTGGACGAAAAGCAATATATTTCTGTGCTGTGTTTCTTTTTTTTTGGCATCGACCCGGGACTGGCCCAGTGCCTGGCCTGGCCGAGCAGTGCGCGACTTTAATTGATGTTTCATTTCCGTTGCAAAGTGCTTCCGCTTTCCTGTGCTCAACATCCGATGTTTGTTTTCTGCTCTTGCGGCCCTCAAGTTTGAGTGGCAGCCCGTCGACCTGGCAACCCGTTCGCTGGTAATTGAGTATCAATGCGGTTTTAAGTGAAAAAATTCTTCTTCTTGCCAGCCACGCCCACATGCATCTGTCTGTGCCTTCCTCCCTCACTCCCTGAATGCCATTCAATGGCCAGCGATTTCCGTTTGTAATCTTTTGCCTTGATTTGTACGTTTTGTTTTGTCTCTACCTCTCTCTATCTCTTTCGCTCTTTCTATTTCTGTTTCTTTCTCTCTTCTTCGTGCAGCCTTGCTCTATGCTCAAAGGGGGTTAATTGAGTTTTAGTGGCCGCGACTCACTTTAAATAGATTACAAGCCGCTCACAGTGTAAACTCCTGTGCCTGCTTCTGCCTCCTTCCTCCTCCTGCTCCTTCTCACAGTGCGGCCGCTAAGCTATCAAGTTTGTTTTGCACTCGGCTTCGACGGAGGCCTTAAATATTTGGAGCATGTCTTGTCTGTCACTCACTCAAGTGCGCTCTTGACGTTCCCATTTTCGCTATCCATCTCTCTCTCTCTCTTTCTCTCTCTCCTTCATTTCTTTCATCTCTTTCAAAATGAATTAATGTAAAAGTTGATTTGTGGCAATTGACGCTTGGTTGCCTCTTGCTTTGCAGCAACTTTTAATTGGAACTTTCTTCCGTTGGCTAAACGGGATATTACGAAAGTTTCTTTTTTTTTCGTTTGGCTATGATGCCTGCCCCTGCCTGATGCTGATAAGCTAAATACGTGTGCCTACCGAACGTCGACATTATATTCTTTGTTGCTATTAACTGCTGCGCTTCCTGGGTCTCCGGACATTGCATTCCATTGAGTGGGGTAAAAGGTTTGTTTCGTTTCCTATTTAGTTGTTGGTTAGGCAGTCTCTGCTAATCATAATTTTGTGTAAGAGTTGATGGGTAAATGCTTGAAATTCGGCTTTTCTCAAATTCAAGTATACGTAGTATTTTAAATAATATTGCACTGAATGATATTCTTTTAGTGAAACACGCACACTTGCAAGAGGAGGAATTGTTGATTTATCTTTACTTCGTTCAGAGCAGATTATGAATTTCTCAAACACACAATAAGCTATATTGTACTAAGTATATATATAAGTATTAATAAATGTATGTATAGTAAACTTAATATGTTGTTTCTTTAAGCATAAATGTTTTCCTTACAACAGCTAAACTCATAGTATAGATTTTATCTCGCTGTTGTGCTGTGCGTATACGTAATAATTGTTTTTCCTTAAGCATAAATTCAACCCTCACAGCAGCAGCTTTTAAAAAATACTGAAATTGCATTTGCTCTGTGATTACTTTGACAATTACTTTGAACACTTGTAGACCTTCAAATGGATTCAGCTCTATAAAATACGACTTCAGCTCGACCCACTATGTACCCTACAAAAAACCTTTTGACTCTTTTCAATTGTCGTTCAATTCTCAAGCTGCATGTTCTGCGTTCAATCTCCACAATCTTTGGCACATCCATACTGCCAAAAAAAAAGGAAGAAAAGGAAAATAAAAAGCAAACCAGCTTCAGCAGAGTCTTTCGTACCCGTTGGGCCACAGTTTTTGTGGGACTTGCTCGACTCCAGTGCAGTTGTCTTTTGTTTTTGTGCGGCGCAACGACTTCATCTGAATACAACCATAAATCTTGCCCGATTCTCAGCAATAAACAAGCAGTCAGTTTTTACTCCGAGACAAGGGCGCAACTGCGCGTCTCTGACCTTTCGTTCGCAGTATGCTACCCTTTGATTTATGATGACTCCGCTTGCTTTATATTCGGCGTGTCCTTGGCGTGTCTCGCCTGCCAGCTCCTGCCAGCTCCTGCCAGCTGGTGTTGGTCTCTGCGGGCAGCTCTCACTTTCAACTATTCCAGCGTGCGTTGCGCAACTAATGATTGAGGTCAGTGCTTACTGTACTGTAGTCACTCCCTTTAACGCGTAATTGTGGGTAATTTACTGTCAGCTCCCCTTATATAGAGTCTGCTACCCACGGCGCCCAACAAGCCACTTGACAAGGGCGATTAGCAGATACTAAGTGTTATTCTAATTGTTATGCTTGTATTTAAATACCAAATGTCACTTGTTGTAGACTGAACACATTTCTACAGCAGCATCTCAAGCTGATTGTCTGTTGACACTGTATTAGAGTGTGGTAGAATTTGATTTTATATGGTTGGAAATTTCAGGCTGACATTTGTTAATATCTTTTTGATGTTGTAAATGGATGACATGAATTTTATTTTTTTTATTTAATTATTGAATATTAAATTCAAATAAAATTACACTGAATCGAAGTTATTTGAACTTTATTTTACATGTTATAATTAAATAATATTAAACTCGCTAAGTTTAATTTTCTGAAATTTAATTTCGAGAGCAATGCAGTTATCATATTAAAATCTCAGCTTCCAAACTCTTCGATAATATAAAGCATTGCACTTTTATATTGATATGTAAGCTATCTATATGATCTTTGATTTATTCTGATTCATATTTGATGAATGATATGGTTATGAATATATGTGCTAGAAAATAATATACTTTTAGGCTTACTTTCGTTAATAACATTTTTGATGCTGTAAACATTTACAGCATACATATGTATTTTATTTAATTATTTATATATTTTTTATATTATTAAAATTATTATAATTTTGTATATAATAGTTTTAAAATTTTTTTTTTTTTCAAATACTTGATTATTTAATTTTTTTAATTCAAACCTAAATTAAAATTAAATTAATGTAAGTTTAGGGATATACATATATAAGGCAGAAAGTAATACAGTTTTAGGTTTACTTTCGGTTATAACTTTTTATACCCTGAACCCATTAAAAATTAGAAATCAGGGATAATGGTTTTGTGAAAAAGTATGTAACGGGCAGAAGGAATCATCGCAGACCCCATAAAGTTTATATATTCTTGATCAGGACGACGAGCTGAGTCGAGCCCTGTCCCTCTGTCCGTCCGTCCGTACGTATGAGTGCGTCGATCTCAGAAGTTATAAGAGCTAGAGAGCTGATTTGAACACTTTTAGACCTGCAGACTTCAGATTTACTGTGTATATACAGTTGATCGATACGAAGATTTTGTTATTTACAGATTTTGGAGCCCACGCCCCCTTCGCTCCCAATTTGTAATTTTCATTATATGATTACGCTCTGATTGATCCATTAAGATTGAATGTCTACAAAAGAAATTATTCAACAAATAAATTCTCATAATATTGCCCACACTGCAGCGCAGCCTAAGCGCAGTCGCTGCTAACTGCGCAGTCAGCAGAGCGCGTGATTATATGTGCGTGTGGATGCGTATGTATGCATGCATGCATAAAAGAAGTGCAGAATGAGTAGAATATTAGCTTAGAGGGTTCAGGGTATCTCCTAGTCGAGCAGTCTCGACTAGAGCATTCTTACTTGCTTGAATAGAAAATAATACGCTTTACAAGATAATATAAGAAACTTGCGGTATTTGTTAGTCGAGCATATCCACCAGTTGAAATTTATCTATTGATAATATTGCTCTACATATTCTCATATACAAGATTCTCTCCATGATAAATACAAATTTTGGGCTTCGATTGAAATTGTGAATGGAAAATTCTAATGCGTACTTATTAAACTCAAACAAACTATGTGTGTCTAAATGACAACTGTGTAAATAGTCAATAGAACAGTTCTGCGAGTATGGCAAAAAATCTTCTCTAAATTGAAAAAAAAGTAAATAAATGAAAAATAAAATAAAAATAATAAGAATAAATAGTAAAGTCAAGCAGATCAAAAGGGCTGAATAAACTACTGCAAAATATTCAACGAAAAGGAGTTAGAGAAATCTATAAAAGGCGAGAATTTAGCTTGTCATTTCACATTCCCTCCCAGATTTACCTCAGATGAGAGCCATAAAAATAACTTTGAGCCTCGCAGTGCTGGCCCTGCTTGTGGTCCACTTGCCTCGGGGCAATGCTGAAGCGTGTATTGATGTAAGCGATCCACCTGGCTGCACTGACTGCGAGGATCCGGCCAAAGAGCAGCATGCGGACTGCGTTGAAGATCTGGCGCCACTCGATCCAAATTACCCAGATGAGGCAGACGGGGATGATGGGACAGCGGTTGGTGATGTCGATACAGATGATACCGATGAGGATGTGACTGCACCCATCAATAATGGCAACAACGGCCTGAGGAGGAGGAGGAAGAAACCAAGTCGGTGAAGCGAGTGCGCAAAGTAAAAAAAAGAACTCGGGCTCGGCCAGGAGTCAGGCGCAACAAGAATCGACGTGCTGTATCGCGCAGACGAGTCCGTGTTTACGTGCGGAATTAATTTAAGCTCAGATGGAATAAATAAATTGAAGCTGAATTCGAATATTTGAAATTCGATTGCAGCTCAAACTGAAGTGAATTCGTCAGATAATATTTATCTACAGAGAACCAAACAGTTGACGAGGAGCGAAAGCAATTATATTAAGCTATGCTAAGCCATGCCAGGATAGCCGCAGGATAGTCGCGGCGTCGACTGCCGACCACAGAAACCTCAATTGAAACGTAGCTACGGCGGAGACGACGTTGACGACATTTGCGCGTCAAAGATGTTGCAGAAATATGCAAAGGAAACTCCAGATTGATGTTAGAGTAAACAGCTGGCAGGAGTTGAGGGCAGAGAAGCCAAAGCAGGCGAGGCATGAACAATTAGCAAACCAAATACGAAATTAACGGTGCAAAAACATTATTGGGTGTTGGCCGTGTCAAGTGTTGCCTGTTTGTGTTGAGATGCAACGGATAATGTAGATAGTGTGACAGTCTCCTAATTGAATTTTTACAGACAGCTTTATAAAGTAAGACAGGAAAACCTCCATATAAGCGAGTGTAAAGTGTAAATATAAAATAATGAAAGTGCTAAAAACTCTTATCTAAAACCTTTAAGATCACCTAGCGAGAGCTTTGTGCAAGTGAGTCTCTTATGTTTATAAGGATTAATAATTTTAAAGATCTTTGAAAAATTACTCCCATGTTGTATATGAATGCTAATAAATTCGTGTTTGATGGAGTCTTGAATGAGCATTTATATTTATATTTATATTTATAGATTATATAGAAAATATAGAAAATGTATTTTAATAAATATTTGATGGTATGCACTAATATCTTAGATATATTTTAGTTTAGCGCCCGTTTAAATCAATTTGAAAATATTTTTACTGTTTTAAATTATGTAAATGCAGCTTAAATTAAATTCAAGCAAAATACTTTCAATAGATTTCTAATATAAATTAAATACATTAATATTGTACATAAATAAATTAAATAATATATAAATTCTGAAGACAGTTTTTCAGAGCTGTCGAAGCACTAAATCTACTCTAATCAAACGATGTTTATTTTTTACTATGCTCAAACTACGAGCACTGACTTAGCTTGCTTAAGCCGGTGCTTCGTACGAACGAGCTCCTATGTAGACCATAGAGAGGAAAAATTAATCTTGTACAAAATTGTCCACTTAACCCAGCCGCTGTTAAATGGCAATTCTGGGCCAACAATTACTAAATATATTTATTATTTATATTATTTTCTTATACTTACTTCACCCGCCGCATTGCTCGAGTAGCTCATCCGTTTCACTTTCTTGAAGGTGGCATCGCTTTCGGCCTGTGCCAGAGCTCGCTCCAGGGCTGAGTCCATTTTGGCACTACGTGCCTCGTCCAGACCCTGATAGGTGCCGCTAGAATAAGCAGAAGTACAATGAATATGAGTTTAGTTAAACTACAAAACAAATGCTACAAATCCACGTTAAAATTATTTGAATGTGTATGTATATATGCCTGAGGTAAAAAATAAAAAATAAAAAATAAAAATAAAATAGAAATAAAAAATAAAAAATGGAGCAGTGATAATATTGAAGAAATAAAAAACTAAGAAAAAATATTAATATTTACCTATTTATATATATGTATATTGCAATTTCCATTTTGTACTCACTTTCACTACTATTTTTAATAAATTTATTTGAAAAAATGTATTTTCTTAAAATAATATTATTTATCTGTTTTTTTTTTTTAAGGTCTCTATGAAATATGAAATACACTGACTATGATAATTGACTTTAAATCGTAACGCTATAATTCTAATGCACATATTTTTATTTTCTATTTTCTATTTTCTGTTTTTTTTTTTTAATTTTTTTTTTATTTTATTTTTTTTTAATTTCATGCAAATATTACACATTTTCAGTGCTTTAATTCGCTTAAAACTGATTGTTTTCTTTTTGTTTTCACAATTTAGCTGATTTTTCATGCAAACATCAAGCCCGCAGTCCACATAATACCTCGTGCCATCCTCGTATATACGTACATACATACATACGTATATCCAGCAAGCATCCACTGCGAATTTGCATTCAGTGTGAAAATGAAAAACTTTTGTGCAAATTTCCCAATGCCCTTTGTGCGAGTGGGCCATAAATTTTTTAGTTGTTTGAGTAAACAGCGCGGTCACTGGGCGTTAAATTAAAAGCGCCAGCAGCTGGCTGCTAATTTGCTACATGAATTTCGAGTGGGCTACTCCAATTGTTTTTATGCTAATTTCTTCAGTTTTTGCTGTTGTTTTTGTTTTTTTTTTTTTTTTTCAGTGTACCTTTTATAGTACCCGTTGCTGACCCTAATTGACGTTTAAATGTGCTTTGATCGTGCTTAATGAATGTTTTTTTTTCTATTTATTTTCTCCATTTTTTTGTGATAATTAAAAATAACAATTTTATTTGAATTTGAGTTTCCCATCAAATTGCGAACGCTTCGTGTCTGTAATTTATGTAGTCGACCTCAGCCTATCGGTGGGCAAGTGGGCGGGGCCAAGATGTATGCGACATAGTATAAATACGTTTGTTATTTACCTCTGGAAATTGGTTGGAGACGTGTGGCTCTCCCATTCCAATGAGCCAACAGTAAATTGCGTTGGCTTCGAGTAATGTCATGAGCAGACACGCACACACACACACACACACACTCCCACACACTGACTGCATCACACATGCGCTCAATTACCGCAACAACAATAAACAACAAACAAGCAAAATAAAATTAAATAAATAAATAAAAAAATAAAAAAAATGGCAACGATTTCGTGAACTGAAATTCTCGACTAAAGATTTCTCCATCCTCTCATCCACACTTACCCCATAAGCTTGTCAGCGCCTCCGCCAGCGCCCCGCAGCGTGCCCTGTCGATGGCGCATCGTTGAGCGGTTCGTCCTGCGCACGGTCCGCAGATCTGTTTCCCAAAAGCTGTGCGAGCATCAAAAAACACAAATGAAAACAAAATATAAATTCATTTTTTCTTAAATATTAAAAAGTAAAGGCAAGCAATTTAAAGATGAGTTAAAGTTAAGTAAAAATTTGAGACTTTGCTCATTTGCTTCCATTTGGCATCGAGCCCTGGCTGTATTCAATGTAAGCAACTAAAACCCTTGGAAGCGAAACGAGCTTCAATTTGCCAAAGCAAAGCAAACAAGGTTTCAATAAATAAATATACGAATCTATGCACTTTATGCGCATTGCAAGATCTGCTGAGTCGGAATGGAAAACATTGCATTGCACATGAGCCCGCAGCCATATGGGCAACGAATTGCTAAAACCGCTGCCCGTCCATGACATCTATTCGGGCGAGGGCGTTGCCACCCGACCAAGAGGGCTGCCGCGAGTTGAATGCAGCAGCAGCAAACACAAATATTGCATAAACAACTGTTAAATGTGCGCAGACAGACAGTAAAACAATAAGGGATTAGGTGGGACTCTCGACGAAGAGATACCCTTTAGAGAGATTACACTGCAGTGAATTCGAAACGAAAGACCCCAATGATAAAGATAATAATTATAGAGGTGTTGGCAGTAGTGTCAATAGTAATAATAATCATAAAGATAATAAAGACTATATGGATAGCTCTTACCCCCTTGCTTGCGTGAAAAAATGGTCTTTATCCTTACAGACAAGGTCCTTATCCTTATCTTCATTCTTATGTTTGTGCTTTACCATTATCCCTATCCATATCCTTATCCATATCTTTGTCCTTATCTCTCTATTTATCCATATCTGGTTCTTTATCATTATCCATATTCCTATCTATATCCTTAGTCTTTATCTTTGTCCTCTATATTATCCTTCACTCAATATATATCCTTTTTCTTAATCTTGCACTCATATTTTGTCCTTGTCCTTATCATTATCCAGATCCTCGTCATTGCCTTTGTCAATATCCTAACCTCTATCCTCATTTTTATCCTTTCCCCGACCTTATGCTTTTTTTTATTTTCCCTCATGTTTTCTTTCCTTATCCTTATGCATATGCATAGCTACCCCAGCTTTTGTAGCAGCCAACAGGGTATAGCATAAACATAAGCTGCCTGGTGGCTGAGCCAGCGAGCGTGCGTTTGCCTTAATAGGCAACACTGTGCATAGTGTAACAAAAACTGTGGCATACATAATATCTGTGAGCCGTGTTGACAGAGCTCTGCAACAGCAAACAAAATTTGTTTTGTGCACGCTTCAAGTAATTTAATGCGTCACATTATGAGATTGAAGGCCACGTAGCCAGACCAGACCAGAGCAGACCAGACCAGACCACACCAGGGCAGGCAAGGCCAGACTCATGTCTGGTCTCCAGCCTCCAAGTGGGGGTCAGTGGCGTCTATGCGACTTAGATGGCTATTTATTATAAGCAGAAGAAGGCAGCGGCGCAACAAAAGCCATTTATTAACATTAGCCCGAGCACTTCTCATGAAATGCACGAAATAAGCCAGTTAATTATAAGATTTGTCATCGGCAATGTGCGAGCCTTATGGGTTTCAGGCTAATTAAATATGTATTTGATGTTATGACCACCTCGATAATATATCAACAAGCGGCCGTTGTTTTAGAGCAGACAAGAATTTTGAATAAACGAAGCAAATTGTTAAAGTTAGAGAATTTCTGATGACAAAATAGCAAAACAATACTGAAATAATAGCACAGAAATGTTAATGGAAATTTAATATAATTCGAATAATATATACATACAATATACATTCGAATAATAATATAACTATGGCCACTATTCAATTACTGATATTTCAATATAATATTGGAAGTGTTTAACATCGAGCAACAAACCTAAGCTGTTAAATCGTACAGCAAACTTGAACTTTCTTTTGTGGCTGCCTGTTAACAGACTTTAAACACTGTTAAAAGACTTTTATTTTGTCTACTGGTCGTAACAGCGTCCGAATTGTTTGATTTCACTTCGCGTTGTTAAGCTAACAGATTGTTTTTCATAACCTACATACGTATACGTATTACGTATCCACTCACTGTTATTAGCTATTGTGTTAATTAACAGCTTCTTGACACTATTGTTAAGCTAAAACTGTTAAAGTTTACAGTGACTGTAAACTGTAGTAACTGTTAACAGACTAAATAAATATTGAACTGAACTGCTGTTAGTTATAATATTATGTTACTTAACAGTTTATTACTATGCTACCGTGACTGTCTTTTAACAGAATGAATGCTTTACATATTGAACAGCACTATTCACTGTTGTTAGTTATAGGATAATAAAAAGTCTGTTATTGAAGATAAGGATTATCTTATATTAATTTTAACAGTAGCGTATAATGTTTCTTGCTCTTTTATACAGCTAAAGGACCTCGATGTTAGCTATTTATTCTTCACTTCGAAATTAAGAATATTCTTCTAGTCGAGTTAGGTTCAGCAACTACTCATTATATTAAATGTTATCAAGCATAACACTTCTGATTATCCTTTCTTTTTTAATAGACAATTCTCATTTTTGGATCAAATTAAAATACACTAAAATTTCTATCGATTGTTGCTTCCGTTATTAATTACATTCACAAATGGTCGATTGGCCATTTGGCGAGCGCACAGACCGGAAGTGATAAGCTTAAAACGAAGTGTGCGGTCATTAGGAACAGCTCAGTGCATATTTCGCAGCGCGAATTGAGGGTGGAACGGGGGGTGCCAACTTTATTGCTGTCATATTGCTGCCTGGCTTTGATATTGAAAACTTGCAGCTCGTTGCCAATCCACTTACCGCTTCAGGTCCGGGCTGGCCGTGTATGGCGCCGATACTTCCTTGATTTTCAGCACTATTATGGCCGTTATAAATATGCAAATCACATTCACTATCGTCAAACAAGCGGACACAATGCCATTGATGAGGAACTCGGTGGGCAGGTAGTCCGTATAGAGGAACGGATACGCGCTGGTGCTGTTCATGGGCTCGTTTTTCAAGTGCGGTATGCGCTTCTCCGGATAGATGAGCCAGATGCAGGCCTGCGACCAGAATAGACCCTGAAAAATCGAGAGCGAGAGAGAGAGAGAGAGAGAGAGAGAGAGAGAGAAAGTGTGTGTGTGTGTGTGATAAGTGGCTAAGTTCATTTGTATGACTGACATGACTTAATCAAAGTGTGTGTGTGGAATAGGTAAGGGGAGGGAGGAGCAGGAGGAGAAGCAGAAGGAGGAGGCGGAGCAAACGCGTGGACAGTTGAGGTCATAAGGTCGCTGTATATGCGAGCAACCGAATTGAAATTGAAAAGAGCACAGCTGTTGCCCCAAGCATATCAAGTAGTAGATGCCGGCCTTGAATTGTGATAAATCTCACACGCACAGACTCCGGCTTGGATCAAACTTTATTGTCGCATTGTCTGCTCTTTGGCTCAGCATTTTTTTTCCAAGACTATTTTTGCTCTTTTGCTTCGCTCTTATAAATTAAAATGACTCAGCGCTTGGCCACGCACACTGCGGAAGTTCGTGCCTACTCAAAATGCTTGTATGTGCATGGGTGTGTGTGTGTGTGTGTGTGTGTGGGTGTTTAGTCTGCTTTGTGCTTTGCTCTACTTAGCCTAGTTCTTTTAAATTTATGACGTCTTTAGATCTTTCCCCCTCTCCCTCTCTCTCTCTCTTTCTGTTCATTGAAACCGAAATCTGGTTCTAAGAAAACATTCCGTTAAAAGTGAAAACAACCAGTAAATACAACGGTAATTATTCGTTATTAATGGCGGCGTATAAATCACAGAAATGTGAACTTAAAAGACATAAAATTTTGAATAATGTTGTTAAGTAAGTAAACCAATGTAGAGCACATTTCGCACGCTAATTTCCAAAATATGCGAGTAAATTATTTGCTGATAAACATTATGAAGCTTTAAATATTAAATGCGCAAGTTCGCAAAGGGATACAAGTTTCTCTTATTTTGTTGTTGCCATTTATTGCTGAGCTGTTGAAATTATTCACAATATATTTCATGTGCTAGTCATTTTTTATGCACGTGTACGTACGTGTATCTATGGGCGGACAGCGCTGCGTATGAGTAATGCGAAAAGTAAATATATGCGATTGCTCATACGCGGCGTTGTCCGGGCTGCATGCAATTAATTGTGGCACGCTGTTCGGGCAATGCAGTTAGCAGATTTTAGGTTAAAAACGTGCAACTGCTGCCTGATAGGGCTGACAGCGTCAGAGTTTTAGTGCGTGCATCTGATTTATGCAGCTCATATAAGCCGCAAGCGAAAAAACAAACGCAACAAAAATAAAGAAAATAAGCAAAACCAACAACAAAAAGGCCAACGCGAGGGCTAACTGGGCTAGCACACATGCTCGACCACAGTCATCGCTATGATTAAGCGATCTCGGCTCCCATTGTTTCAGCACACGGAGTAAGCCAAAGGACTGGCAAAGCGCTTGCATTTGGGAGAGTTGGACACACAAGCACAAGCACAAGCACAAGCAAAAGCTCTTGCATCATTTTGTCATGCCTTGTGGCCCCGTCGCACCGTCTCGGCCCACCCCGCCACGCCCTGCCCTGCCCTGCCGCCTTGCGCCATTGTCTTTCTGTCACCATTGATAAATGTCAGACAACCTCGTGTCGCCGGGAGTTTGTTTGTTTTGCCTGTTGGGCTGCCGTTTCCGCTGTGCCAAGTTTTTGCATGCATATTCCACAGGAATATTACTCTCTCTCACACACACACTCTCTCTTTCTCTCTCTCTGTCTCTGTCTCTGTCTATGTCCCTCTCTGTTTGCTTGCTTAATAATTTAACGCAACATCCGCTAGACTGCGTGCTGCTGCTGCGCACAATTCGCACTTGAAAATTGGATCGGAATTTATGCACTCGTTGCGGTTAGCTGCCAGCCTAGCCATCGTAGCCATCCACTAGCCAAACAGCTGGGCCCACAACAGCCACAGCCACAGCCACAGCGAGTGGCAGTGCTTGAGCTGCGGCTAAGTTTCAGTTTGGAAATCGGTGCAGCAGATTTATGAGCAAAACTTTTTGGGCCCAGCTCTTCAGATTAATCGAGCAAATTGTATATTTGGCTAATTTATGTGCTTGACCCACTCAGCCGTGCAATGCCAGCTTTCACTGTCAGCCCGCTCGTCATGCTCTCTACACCCTTTCGGACTATACTATAACTATATAACTAACTGACTATATAACTATTGCTGACATGACCTCATTTCGGGGTCATCAAATATAGCAAAATATGCGAGCAATTTATTGCCAATGTTTGCATAATATAGTATTTGAATTATAAATAAAAACTATGGTCATAAAAAAGGGCTTTTTACAGTTCAGTTATGGGAAGATACTTTGCAATAAACTGAATGAATTTTAAATTTGATTAAAAATATATTATGTATGAATTTAATTGGAAATATAATTAATTGCTTATACTTAAATTTATGTTTATATTATATTATTAATATTATATTTTATATTTAATATTCACATTTTATCTTTTTGTTTTACTTAAAATTAAAAAGGAAAATGTGTATCATTAATGAAGAGACAGATGGAAACTATATTTTATACAGTTCATATATAAATCGATATAAAATATATATAAATAAGTATTATATAATATATAAATATATATTAGTGGAATTCTGATGGTAGCTAAATTTCATTCAGTTCTTTTGTAAATACATCAATCAAAACGTGAAACAGAACTCAATAAATAGAGGCCAACAGCTGCTAGCTAAATGTTTTAAAAGGCTAACAATAAATAAATAAAAATGTACATGAATATATTTACACGCTTTACATTATATATACTTATATCTCAATTTATTATAAATAAATTAAATGTAAAATGTGTACTTATAAAGTGTCTAAATATATTTATGATTTCATTTATTTATTTATTTTGTATTATTCAACATTTTAATAAATTAATTATTTAGTTCCATTTAATTCCACTGCCCTAGCTTTACTATTCACTCTCTTATCTTTAAGGAGCAGCTAAAAATTTTACGTAACCAAATACAACTTAAGGAAATTAATTTTTTGGTATTGGTATAAAATGCGAAGACTTCTCTATAAACTCTCCTGTGCTCCAGCATCAGCTTACCAATTAAAAATATTTTATGAATATTCTCAGCCGTTTACAGAGCAAAATCTACATTTCTATTCGCTTATTTCGATTTATATGCGATTTAATACCCTGCAACTTGAGCTCAAAAGTCATACGAAAGCATACCCAATAATTAAAATAAATGAAAAAAGGGTATTTTAACCGGGTATCTACATTTGAGCGCCTATGAGATACCCTAAGATACCCGATTGTTCTATGTTCTATGTTCTATGATTGTTCTTTTTTTTTATGCTCTGAACCCATTGAAAATGGGAAATCAGGATATAATGCTATAAGCCAAAGGATCTTAGAAGATATAAGAGCTAGAGAGCTGAAATTTAGCATGCATACTCGTGTATACCATAGGCAGTACAAGTTTATCTTATTTTTTCGATAACTCATCCCATAACTTTTTATCGAGAATAATCGAAAAATCGACATTGTTTTTTCAGCCTAATTTGAACATTTTCAGACCTGGAGACAAAAGATTTTGTAATTTACAGATTTTGGATACCACGCCCCATTCGCCCCCAATGTGTTAAAAACACATTTCAAGTAATAGAGACTTGTGCTTTGGAATGTACACACATTTTAACCATATGATTACGCTCTGAAAGTTTCACTAAGATTGTATATCTACAAAAGAAATTATTCAACAAATAGATTCTCATAATATTGCCCACATTGCAGCGCAGCCCAAGCGCAGCCGCTGCTTACTGCGCAGTTAGCGGAGCGCGTGCTTATAGGTGCATGTGTATGTATGTGTGCATAAAAGAAGTCCAAAATGATTAGAATATCAGCTTGGAGGGTTCAGGGTATCTCCTAGTCGAGCAGTCTCGACTGGAGCCTTCTTACTTTACTTTTAATTTGCGAACAGCAGTTGAGGACATACAAAACCTGATATACCTCAAATCATGCATTAAAGATAGCCAAGAATACAAGCAAATCTCCACCCCCATTGCTACTCAGGTTACGCCCTAAAAATGAAATCAATTAATGGGTTTTTATCTAAACTTAAGAAAACTGATAAGTATACATATATGAATATAAATATATGTATATAAATGAGTATTCTATATATGTAAATTTTTGTAAAATAAATACGGTTTCAATTTCAATGAACTCAATGTATATTCTAATTGCTTGTTTCCATTAACGGCTAAAAGATTTGTTGCTTAGCTTCAAACGTCTAATTTTCGTTACAATTTGGGTGTGATTCGCTGCATATTCTATCATCTACATCTTTTCATGGCCAATAAGAAATAGGCTAACATTTGGCTATTATATTCATATGAGTCTCTATACTTCCGTAGATTATTCGGTTTTGCAGGATATCTATATAGTCATGCCTATCCTTTCAGTTTAGCTGCGACATTGGAATACTTACGCAGTTAACAACGGGCGGCAGCAATGAGGCTGATATGGCAACGCCAATCAGCGGCCCCGCAGAGCCCTGGAGCAGGGCGACGGCCACCCCAGTGCCAGATGTTAGAGCCCAGAGCACGCCCATCCACAAAGCGCGCACATTGCCCCTGCAAGCGGAGAAACAGAACAGAGAAACAGAGAATTATATATATTGAAAAGCCAAAAGAGGAATTAATTAAAAACACAGAAAATGCCACCAAATGACAAATGCCAGCTGTGAGCCGAACGAAAATTGAGTTAAGTTTGAGCTTAAAGCAGAGAAAGAGAGAGAGAGAGACCAAGAGAGAGAGAGAGAGAGAGAGAGAGAGAGCTGGACGAGCGACGGCTGTAGCTGGCATTTGCTTATCTGCGCTGTCAACTGGACACGCCGCCAGGTGGCGCTGCATGTTCACGCTGTTTTTTCATACTTTTCATTTACGTTTCCCTTCCACTCTCTCTCCCTCTCTCGCTCTCTCTTTGTGCTGGCAATGCGCAACTTTGTCAAGTGTCAGCGGCTTTTGTTATCAGTTCCGGCAAGCGACCTTGTCGCCGCTGCTGCAGTCATTTGGTTGTGAAAAATGTTTTGGAAACTTTTCATTGTGCTGGCTTTTGATTCATGCACCTCATTTGCGCCTACATGCCGGCTTCTGGCTTCTATTTTGCAACTTTGCTTGATTAATGGCCCACGACTCTGGTTACACTTGCTATGCTATGTAATTTCTTCCCATCCCCTTCACAAAAAAAAAGTGATACATTTCACTTTTTTTTTATCAACGCAACAACTTTATTATGCGCCGCAATTTGCGCTCAATTATTGTCGAACTTCGCGCCTGTCCTTATAAATTAGCAGGTGAATATTTCACCTTTGCCAAGGCACAAATTTCAATGGAAATTTCGAGCTGTGGAAGAAGAAAAATTAGAAGTGATTCGGTTGAAAACTTTTGCAAATTTGAATTTACAATTGAGGCATATATGGGCTGACTATGGGCAAGAGTGGAAGTATTCTCAATAAAACAAAACACTCAGCTTCTTAAGTTATTAATAATCGAAAGTTACTAAAATTTAATGTAAGATTTTCGATTTATTTTGGAGTCCCCGATATAATATAATAAATCATAGTAAAATAATATTTATTAGTATATATTTTTTTATATTTAAATATATTTAAATTTTGATGTTTATAGCAGTAGAAAAAATATTTTGCTAAATTAAACTCAATAAAGTAAAATTTTAAGGGGTGTACCTATTATTTTCATCATGAGTGTATATTAAAATAATATGTATATATCTACGTTCATTGTCCTTGATTAAATTTATTTATATTTATTTTCTTATAAGCATTATTTCAGTATTTGTATAAAATTTGATTGATTTATTGTGACATTTATTCTCATTTTGTGCCTATTTAAAATTAATCCCAAGAACTTTTCCAATAAATATGAAAGATAAGAAGTCGCATATTGAGACTAACAAGAAGTAGGTTATTAATCTATTATTATTATATTTTTATTTTTATTTTTATTTATTTATTTATTTATTTATTTATTTTATTTTATTGTATTTTATTTTCTTTTCTTTTTTTTTATTTATTTTTTTTGTCTGATTATTTGAATCGTGCTTCCCAGAATTTTCTTTATATTCTATATCTACTGCTGGCTCAGTCCAGTCCAAAACGAATTCGATTTATTGTGCATGCATTCCATTCAAAACCGAATTACAGTGAAAACAACCACAAGCGGTCGGTTATCAGGCAATGTACAGTAAAAATGCCAGCAATTATGGGACCGCAATTCGACAAATGGCAACGACAGAGCTGAATGTGTTTATAGAGCGAAAGGGAAAGAGGGAGAGAGAGGAAAAGATAACTAACATATGTACAATAGGAGTGTGTGGGAGAGGGGGAGTGTTGATTCGGCAATCAGAGCGAGGCAAATGCGAGCGAGCGAGCGAGCCTTTTGTTAATATTATGATGATTTGTATGTGGAGGGCTTTGTATTGTGTGCGTGTATGCGCATGTTTGACTGTAGGTCCGCACATTTGGCTGTCAGATTTGGGCCTGTCTATCTCTATTTGGCCACGGACAGTCCGTGCCTCGGTATTATTATTTTAACAATTTATTTTGCGCAATTAACACAATTGCCGACACACATTCATTACGCGCAGCTTCCGGCAAAATGCGCCTGAGCTTAATTTATTGTGAGCCAGCGTGAGTGTGGTGCACTAGCTGTGGGTGTGAGTGTGTGCGAGTGTGTGGGTGTGTGTGGGTGTGTCTGAGTGTAAGCCCTAAGCCTAAGCCTGCCTATTTGGCCCACTGGCATAAGAGATTTACGCAGTCGGCACGTGGCATCCTCAAGATTTGCGCTTTGTATCGTCTGCCAAGGCAGAAGCAAACAGACAAGCAGACCAAAAAAATGGCAGAGGAATAGACGATGCTATAATAAATGTCTGCTCATATACTAGCCGACTACAGTAGTCTCTGGCTGTGACGGGTGTTTGCCTAATGAGCGCACGCCTCACATTTCGCTCCAGCTGATCAGATTAGTTGAATTATTTGCAAGTAATTTATTAGGTTTGCGCTCATAGATTTCCCACTGAGCCGCCAAAACTTTTGGAATTTGCATGAGCCGATGCGTAATTAACATACTTAATGGATTTCCATTTCCATTTTCCATTTTCCACGCGCAATGCCAGTAGCACAGCTAAAAAACTAAACTTGAGTTTCATAATACTCTCAGCATTAATTGACAGCGAATTTAAATCTCTCTGCCTCTCTCTCTCCCTCTACCTCTCTCTGCTGTTTCTATTTGTGTTTATAGCATCTCATATCAATTCGGCTTAGTTTCTCATTTTTCAGCTGCGCTAATTAGTCGGTCGCTTGGGCAACTAATCTGTTGAGAGCAAACACTGTTATTCCATAAATTCGACTCGCTGCCACCTGTGAGGTGCGTCGTCGGCTCATTTGAAATCCCATCAATGGCAATTGACAGGCAAGTCAGCATCGAAAAACAGCTCAGCTTTTCCTTTGATCGACATGTCGATAATAATATGTGGGCTCTTGAGTTCAAAGACGATGCTAATTGAATAGCTCTCGTCGTTTCTTAAATAAGACTCGGTTGGGCTAATAAATAAGGGGCTATCCAACGGCAAGCGAGCTCAGTTCCCCAAAAGAGACCAAAATAAACTCTGTCTTAGATTTCGAGCTCAGCTAATTTAGTTGAAGACGTGACAAATTCACAGCAATCGGCATCATTTGTTTGTGTTGTTGTCGTAGTTGTTGTTGTTGTTGTCTAGCTGATTAGCATTGATTGAGACTCACCTGCCACGCATCTCCTCGGTGGGCCAATCCATATTCTGGCCCCAAGGCATTTCGGTGGTGCCCAGAATCAGGCCGAAGCAGAAGCCAAAAACACATGAGATGAACATGCCCAGGCTTAAACTAATAAAGCCAACGCGCTGCAAAGCAAAACAAGAGAAAATCAAATGAATTCAATTTGCATTGTAAATGTGAACGGCTGACAGATACCCTCTACTCTAGTTGTAAATAAAACATTCATATTTGTGTCGATATGCAAAATATCGAGTAATTGCTAGAGGACTTCAATAAAATCAATCGAATAATCATGAATTCATATTATTTTTTAAATAAAGAAAATTTAAATAAAAAAATTAAAATAAATAATAAACATGATAAATAATTTTTATTTGTAAAAATTTTTTAAGAAATATTTAGTAAATAACAAGTAAAACGAAAAATAAGATATGGCCTTGCTTTTTTTCAAAGGATTTTGTAGAAAAACATATTCCGAATATAATACAAAAATTTATCCCTCTGCATCTGTTGAATTTCCTAAGCAGCTGCCTCATCTTTTCAGCTCAGCTCGAATGCTCAGCCTTCGCTGCGGCAAATCTGCTTAAACAGATAAATGTTTCACTTTTGAGTGATTTTTAAAACCCATTTAAATTTCAGATTCCATGCTAACGAGCTATTCAGAATTATTCCCATTTAGGCTGAAAAACATTTGGTAAAATATCCTTATGTAAATTTGCAAATCCTCGTGATCTGTGTTTTTGGAGTTGAATTATAATATGGCTCGCTTGACTATAATATATATATGCATATAGAAATAGATATAGATATATGACAGATATATGCTGTATATTATGGAGTCTTTAACAGAATCCTTTAATTTCTATCACATTCATTCATCAATTTATTTTATTATATTTTTTTGCATTAAGAATCTACATTTTTATACCTACGGAAATAGAATTTTGTACAAATAAAATAGTGCAAGTAAACTGAGGGTCTAAACAGCCAGACTCTCACTAATCTATATTGATTTCGCTCTAGATTTATATCTGGTAGAGTTTCATACATATTCTGAGAGCCTTTGCGTCTTTGTAGAGAATCAATAATTGTCTCAGCTTTCGCTTGAGAAAAAAAATGGTAGATATTAAATTTGTTCGTTGTGCTGCAACATGGTGTAAGGAAGACAGAGCCACTGACAGAGATAGATAGATGACCAAAAAGTGAGAGAGGGCGAGAGAGAGAGAGAGAGAGAGAGAGAGAGAGAGAGAGAGGGAGGGAATGCCAACTGACGCCAGTCAGCGACACTTTAAGCGATAATGTAGCATAGCTTGCAGTGTGCTTTGTAAGAGGGAGAGGGAGAGGGAGAGGGTGAGAGAGGGAGTGTCAGAGAAAGGGAATTGCGACGTTAGGGCAGCGAGAAGCGCAGCGAGTGGGTGCGTGACATGTTAACCCAAATTTGCAGCCACGCAGCATAAACTGCTTTTGGCAGCTGCATACACAAAAGGAAAATGTTCTAATGTCAGCCAGATGATGTCGCCAACGACATCGTCGTCGTCGTCGTCGTCGTCGTAGTCTTCTGGTCCAACCTCAACCCTCAATGCAAACTGCCAACTGCTTAAATTTGCCGACTTAAAACTTGAAAGTAAACTGCATTTAAAGAGCCTGCCACAGCTCCATTTGCCAAGAGGCATTAAAGCAAAGTGCAAGGAGAGGACTTGTAAGTTTCTCTGTTGATGTTTTTCGTTGTCTTTGGGGTGCCAGTCACCCCGACAGTCCCTGCGCCTCCTGCCAGCGCTCACCTTTCACTTGCACGTACAGCTGGGTGTAAACAACCCGCCAGCGGCTCACTGGGCGTATGAGTAATGTGTAAAGCAATTGCAACAACTTTAAATGGCGTGCAAATATTTTATAGCTTGCATACGCATTCATTTCATGTGTGTGTGTGTGTGTTTACTGCCTGCAGCTGCACAAAAAAAAAACAAAAACAAAAAGTGCATTTCAATAACATTTAACGACTCCTGACAGCTGCTGCCATAAACATGCCATAAGGACAAACCATTTAGTTTTCATTTTGCCAAAACTTTATGATTATTTACCAACATTTTTATTTCTTTGTGCATTCCTTTTAAAATTGCAATTGTTTTTTTTTTTTTTTTTTTTTCTCGACATATTTTTAAATATTGTGCATATTTTGCGTAGGGCTCTCGATTTTGATGTGGCCCATGGGCCGAGTAATTGGCATTTTTGTGTGAAATAGTTTAAACGCTTTTCACAACATTTTCAAAATGACTTTTTCAAATATTTACAAAAAAAAAAAAAAAAAATTAACACTAAACTAAGCAAACTCGTTCACTGCCTGTCTCTTTCGCTCTGTCCACTGGCACTTTATATTTTTGTGCTTAAAATCATGAAATAAGAAAATGTTGCATTTTAATTTACCAACGCTTAGATTAGGGTGGCTCACTAACTGAGATTTTTGCAATATTTTCGCTGATATTTTTCAGAGTTTTATTTTTGCCTTGAGGCAGTCTAACTGACTTCATTTCAACTCGAACAAAATGTAACATTTATTTATTTATTATTTTTCTCCCTTATGCTTGAGCCACCCTACTGTGGCTGCTGCAACTAAGCCTACCTCACAAGCACCACAAAAATTGCGACAAAATATGCTCGTATATTCATTTCAATTAAAATTTAATTGAAGTACACGACAACCAACAAGACATGTGCTTAGAAATACATGTGTGTGTGTATGTGTGTGTGCGTGTTTGCCCTCTGTGTACGTCTGTGCGTGTGGTGTCTGCAAAATGATGTCAGCAGACAGCCCAAGTTGCCCCAAGGGTGAGCCGGGGTGAGCTGGGCTGATCGGGGGGCGGTGAGGGCGTCTGAGCCGCAGTCATTAAAAGCGCCGGCAAACGTGTTTGCCTTATATTTGTGTTTTCTTTTCTCCTCTTCTCTTCTTTTATTTTATTTCACTTTTTTTTCGGCAGCTTCTATTTACTTTCAATTATGATGTCTTACACGTTGTGAATGTGTTTAGCACACGGCGCACACCTGTGAAATTTATAAAGTTATTCAGCGGACACAGACTCGAAATATCTTTTATCTAGCGCGGCCCCAGAATTCAAATGCTTGCCTCATGCTGCTGGTTGACATTTATGGCAACGGAAACACTACAGACTGAGACATAGATGGAGATTCAGATAGAGATAGATAGAGAGAGAGATAAAAGAGAGATAGAGAGCGAGAGAGAGAGACAGACATAGGAAGCGCAAGTGCTGCAGTTGACGCTAAGTTTTATTTGCGTCGAGTTTGGATAAATCCTTGAGTGGTTTCTTTCTTTTAATTTAAGTAGCTTAAGTCTCTGGTCAGACGATGAACTCTTGGCTCGGCAGGCTCTTATTTATAGATAGTAAACAGAGCTCGAGTTGTATAAATAGCAACATTTTGAATTTGTACAGACATTAAGGACAATTTCTTAGAATTTCGTGGAACAGCAACACCTCAGCGAGCACCGGCAAAAGTAGCTGCAGGTCGGATAAAATTAATCCCTTTTATCCGTATGAATTAGGCAACACATTTACTAGGCGGAAGCTGAGCAATTCGTGTGCTAAGCCCGTGTAGATTAGTTAGAAAATAAGTGCTGCATGCTACACAAATTATTTCGTGCTCTTTATAAATAGCTCGACTCAGGAGTCAGGGCTGGCGCTGTTTTCAAGATAAATAAAATGTGAATAGAAGCTGTCAAATTTACGCCAGACTCAATTCAAAGGAAAGAGCTTTCAAGTTAAATTAAAAGAGGTTATCATTGGAGCAACAAAAGGCTTCCTATGCTTGAGTTGGAGTTATTTTAAGTATGATAAATCATACATGTAGATAAAATCTGTAGGTAAACTCCTTTGAGCTTTGAGCATTTTATTCTGATTCACAAAGGTGTAAAGAATACCTTTCAACTTCTCTTAAAGTCTGCAGATCAAATATACAGATATAGAATAAATAAATATAGATATATGTATGTATCAATGAGTTTGCTAGCAATCCACTCATCGCTCTCTAGCATATCCACACTCTGTTCGCTCTCGCTCTCAGCAAGAGAGCTCACCTCTTTTCGCTTTTATCTTCTATTGAGCGCCTTGGCTTAGGCTGTTCGTGTGACGCTCTTTTAACGAACATCGTTACGATTAACGTTCGCACAACGGGACTCAGTGAGTGAGCAAAGACCCAATGCAAACGCTCTTCACATTCACACTCACATGCACATGCACACAATTCACGTACGCATTTAATATGTTGAACGAGCACTCGCCGACACACCAATACATACACAAAAAACGTTTAGCTTATACGCTTTACTTTTACTCTTCAAACGAATGACAAAACGATCGCCAAATTTGCATACAGTTATTTGCGAGCTCAGCTCTTAAGCCTAAGCTCATTTACTCAGAGTGCACTCACACACATGAGCGAACGTCTGCTGCGCATTTGCCGACGTCTGCCAGAATGAAAAACAGTGTTCAAGTGCGTCGCAGTTTTGTATTAAAGAAATAATTAATAGACAAATTTAACTAAGTAAAGAGAATCATCAATGATTGGTGTCCGAATTGTAAAAATATTTACATAAATGCACACAGACTTACATAATAACACTATATGTATGTACATATGTACATATGTATGTTTGATACTACAAAAGCTATTAATGTCAAATATCAGGAAGTTTATGAACGCACGGTAATTACTTACTAAATGCGATTACCTCGGGCTGTTCAATCCATTTCTGTATGTAATGAATGTACATATGTATATGTGTGTATGTAAGGCATTATTTCTAGCCTTCAAACGTCAGATTGTGAGTCAGTTTCACACGTGAAGCTATGAACTCCTCAAATTTCCTGATAATAAATGTTATTCTCTCTAAATCCAAAGATAATGACAGCTAATAGACAGTGATTGCACGTGAGAAAGATGCTTAAGAAAAGAAGGAGATGGATGTGTAAAGAGTCTTAAAGAGGCTGATTTAAAATTAGTAAAATGCATTAAAGCCCCCAGCGATTATTAAAAATATAAACTATTCAAGCACTTAAGGTGCGGATTGACACATCAACAAAAAAGCTAATAACACATAAAATTTATAGTTCGATTAAAATTGATTTTTTATATTGGACTTTATAGACGTATATAAATCTCTGATCTTTTTCTAACATTTTTTTTTTTTTTTTTTTTTTTTTTTTTTACTTTTTTCTGTTTTTGTCAGTGTACTCCACACAACTGCATTTGTATGAATTTTAATATTAGCCAAAGCCTGTCTCACACAGCTCCCAACTGACGTGAATGAAAAGAAATCGAATATTGAATAGGTCCCCCGACTCTATTCACTAAGGTAAAGCTATGCAGGCAATTAGTTGCTCAGCGCGGAGAGCACATTCTTTATGGAGAGAGCGAGGGAGAGAAAGAAAGAACTGTGCGAAGCCCATTTCTATATACATACATCAGGGGGCTGTCAATAAAGAACTCAAACCGAGCGACGAGTGTTACCACAAAAGTGTTGAGAATTTGCAACAAATTCGTCGAAAATATTGTCGTTCTCGTGTGTCTAACTGGGAGATGCCAGATGAACGGGATGGCAGATGGGAGGCAAGAGGCGGGAGGTGAGACGTGGGAGCTGGTAGCCTAGCCTTTCATTTCCATTTGCATCTGGCAGGGGGAGGAGAGGCAGCCAAACGAGCTGCCAACGAGCTGGCATAACAATTTTCGTCGCTTGGCTTTTATTATTTTCATCTGTCACTTTTCCATACATAAATCAGTCCACAAAGCGCCAAAGTGTGCTGCGAATGGATTGCATGGGCCTCGACAAAGCTGCATTCAATTTTTGACTCGATCTCTATTTGTTTTTTACATTATTTTTCTATTTTGTTGTTGTTGCGCGACGTTTGGGCAAAGGGCCGCTCAGAATGTGCTGACTGCCAGAGACAGACAGACAGACAGACAGAAATGTGAACGGAACACAAAAGCGAGTCGAAATGGCTTTGGCCAACCGCAGCAAATTTCTGCTATAGCAACAGCTGCTGCTCCACTTACCATTAGCTCTCTATCCGAGATAATTGCGCCAAATGTAATTGACATAACGGGACCCATAAGCGGGGATACCAACATGGCCGCAACAATATTCGGTGAATTATTCTCGACCAGACCCAGGGCGGCCAAAGAGCTGCAAGATGCAATCACACACACAGATAGAAAGAGAGAGAGAGAGAGAGAGAGAGAGAGGGAGACAGCACACACATACACACACACACTAACATTAGCTTTGCCTTGAATCTCACATCTCGGCTCTGTACTCACTCGGCGGTTACAATTAGCAGCAAGTAGTCAAAGGAGAGGGAGCCACCAGCTCGCACGCCATCCACGACCTGTTTCACGGTCAGCTTGGACTTTATCGATTCCACAAAGTTGTTCCACTTGGAAGTATCCTCGGCATCATCGCTGCAACAATTTCAATTTCAATAAATAAACACCATTTGGTGTGCATAAAACCTAATGACAACTATTTATAGCAGCCATAGCGAACACTTGTGCAGTTGTCTAATTGAAAACATTAACTCTAAATTATTTTGTCCTATTTTTAGGGAATTTTTACTGCAAGAAGTTGGCTAGTTGTACCTGGCTTAAAGTTATATATCTGGACAGATTTATGAAATTTATTCAGATCAACAGACAGATTGACTCAGCTTGACGCCCTGACTATTCATACTTTTTTCGGCTTGCCACGCCCACTACCTCTATCTTATACTTGTATTTCCGTTAACTATAGTCCGATTTCCTATCTTTAAGGGACTCCTCTGAGTCTTTCTCTCTATAGAAATGATTTGTGGTGATTGTTGTAAATATTTGGAAAGTATTCAAATAGAGGATTATCTTTCATTTTTATAGGATCATAATAAAGTGGCTTAAGACATAGGCAGATAAATGATGTTTGATTTACATAATTATCGAACTCATGGCAAATCGATAAGTTAAAACTAACTCGATTTAGCATGACCTAGAGAGAGCCAAACATATATAAAATCTAAATAAATATAAAATATGTTCTATCAAGCTATACATATATAAAATTGTTATTAGCTACACATATATAAAATCTATCAATAATAAAAACACATGGAAAGACAAACGAAATGATAGACAGGCAACTAGATAAACTGGAGTATATTAACTTGGCTAAGAAACATGCTTTCGCTTGTTTGTATTTAGCCAGAGTTAATTTTAATAAATGAACATATTGGCTCGATAAATTCTCTATGCAATTGACATCATAATTAATGCCGTATTATGGATGATTGTCTTAATAGAGATCATAAGCTTTGGCAAAACCAAAAACAGTTTCGATGGCATTGAGGCCTTGAAGGCCTTTCGACCATAAATCTCCGAGCCAAAATCAACATAAACGAATTGTGCTGTTTATCTTAAATGCATGTCGCTCTGCATTCAAGCAAAATGGCACGAGAAAATTGCATGTAAACGAATGCAAAGTCATAAATTATGTGCACTGAGCAAATGCATTTAACCTTTCGACAGGGTTAAAGTACCTAAATCGTTTGGCTTTCATATGCAAATTTCATCAGTTTTCACTTTTTGCTCGAGGCGCTGGCACAATGCTCACAGAATTTGGACGGGGGCCAAGTTCGATGGCTCGATGGGGATGGGAGTGTGAAAGAGAGAGATAACTAGAGAGAGTCGGCGACCTACTTGTCGCATTGCCAGCAGCCAGAGCAACAAACAAAGCCGCCGAAAGTGAAAGACAACGGGTGAAAGTATATGAAATGACAGACGCCTTTGCTACGTGGACAAAAAGGAATCAAAGAAGGCGCTCAAATTAGTTTTTGCAAAGGGCAAACCAAGCCAAACCAAACCAAGCCAAGCCAAGCCAAACCAAGCCAAGCCAAGCCAAGTCGAGTCGAGTCGAGTCTTGTCGTATCGCACACGTGTCTCAGCCAGACAAAGGTGCTTAAATTAAAATTGTACAAGCGAGCAGTCAGCAGCCACAAAGGAAACGTATGCTCATACAAAGACTCCTGCTTCTACTCCTTCTACTGCTAGGCCGGCTCCTGCTCCTGCTGCAAATCCTACTCCTGCTCCAACTCCTGCTCTGATTCCGATTCCGTTACTAGACTCTAGACTTGAGCTGCTGCCCTCCACTTCACTCACCTGTAATCATCGCGCAGGTTGGAGGCATCTGTGATGGCATCGTAGCTAACGCTGCACGGCAGGACGCTGTGAACGAGACAAAGAGAGCAGAGAGTGCAGATTGAAGTGCTGCAGGATATGCATTTGAATATGGAAATATTTTTGCAGCTGCAGCTGCAGCGGCAAGTCATGCGTGTGGCATTGTGCACTTAGTTGACTTGGCCAGTCCAACTGTCAGCAAGTTGTTGCTGTGGCTGCCTGCAGGGCGGCAGCTGCAGCTGCTCCAGAGTATCTGACTGCACTTAATTGCATTCTGTGCACATTAAACAGCTTAAATATCACTTTTCTCATCGAATCCATCCCACATATACAGAGCTGCCTCCGCTCCGCCTCTCCTCTCCTCTGCTCCTGGACTGATTGGCCACACCTTTGGCTGCATTTTAAAGCACCTCCTTAATGTCATTAAATGATTATCACACCTGCTTCGCCCGCCTGTCCCTGCCCCCTAGCAGCAGTCGTCCTTGCTCTGTTTCACCTTTCGTTTGTTTCGCGCGGGCTACTTAAGGCGCTTCATTGTTTTGTACTTAAGGCCAGGCAGCCAGCCCGTTGGCTAAACGGTGGGTGGCACTGGTAGGGGGCGGAAGGCTTCGCATGGCAGCTTATTTCACATGCAGTGCATTCAGCCCCGACTCGAGTGCTGCCCCCCTTCAATTAGCTCAGTTGTCTTAATAAGAATTCTGCTTTTGAAAAAAGAAACCAGCTTCAGGCTAAATTATTATTTTTCCGAAAGGAAAGGAATTTCTCACAGACACTGGGCGGCATAAGTATTTTGACAATATCAAAGAATATCAGCTAGTGTTAACTGTAAAAATTGCTTGTTATACTGTGCTCAAAATGGAAAAAAAAAAAAAAAAAAAAAAAATTAGTACAAAGATTTTGTGAAAATATTTGTCACCCCTTGAATTTACCTCTAACTAACATGTTTGGGCGCTGAAAATGGAAAGCCACGATATAGTAGTTTTAATTTTGATTGAATGTAAGAAGGAAATAGAACAAAAAAAAAATTTTAAAAAAAAATTAAATTATTCATTAAAAGTAATACTCAAAAATACAAAAACTTCATTTTGTCAAAATACTTTTTTCGACCAGTGTATCTAACTAATATGGCTTTATAATTTCTATTTTGCATATAACACTATCTTTATTAGCTTGGACACAAGAAATACAAAGAACATACAAATCTGAAACTTTGGATAGTTTAGTGCAAACCGTATTTTTAAAATTACAGAAATTATTAGCCGGAAATTTTCTATATATGTATAAAAGTTGATTGAATTTGTAATGTTAATTAAATAGGAGTCTTCCCGTAGTATAATATATAAGATTGAATATTTAAAGTGGTCTAACGAACAAGGGAATTATAATTATCAGATAAGTTGTTACGGAAATTAGATGAAATAAATGAACTATAGTGGCTGAGAGATGAAAGAGTGAGGTAGAGTGAGATCAAAGAGTCGAATCATGATGTGTAAAGAGTCATGATTAGTGAGAAAGTCTGCATAGGTACGAATAGACGAGGTACGAAAAGTGGGAGATGAAAGGCGGAGGTAGGTATAGACGATTGAGTTGTAAAAGAGTTAATTTTAAAATAATATATCAGAGCAGCCACGCCTCATGGCAAGAGTGTGCCTCCCACACAGACAGACAGGTTGAGCAGCTTGAGCATAAGTTAAACTTCAACTAAATTTAAGTTTAGCATAATTTCGAGCCATTTGCATTTCATCGTCTGCTTTTGTTGCTTCATCATCCTTTATCACTCCTGTGCGGTTGGTTTCAATTCTCCGTCTGGGGCTGTCCAGCTGCAGCCAGGCAAATCGATTTGCGGCACGCCCACACGCCCGCCTGTCTCTCAGCTGCAGCTCGTCTACGTGATTATCGCCCAGAGGCAATCGAAATATGAACCCAACATTTGTTGGCAAGCCCTTAAGACCCTGGCAACTGCACTGCCCGTTGGCCAATGGCCGCTGGCCGCTGGCTGAGCTTAAGCTGCATTTTTTATTAAAACCTAACCGGCCAGAAGGAGCGCTGCAGCTGGCAAATGGAAGTGAGAATGGGACTTGGAGCAGCTGTTGCACGGCAGCATGGGCGACTTGTTGACTTGCCTGGCACGTCTGCCTCTTGCCGTTCGGTGTTTCAATGTCTCAACTTACCTGACACTGGAATTCAATTTGGTGCCAATGCCCAGCTCCGTTAGACAGTGGAGCGTCGTCTCGCAGGCATCGCCGGCCTGCAGCGGGAAAACGACGTGATGGAAATAGCCTTTTTTGCTCGTCGTCCAAGTGACGTGCTCAATTTCGAGCTTCGCCAGCAGCTCCTCGAGTACCTGGCGACGGAGAAAGCAAACAAGTTGAGGTTAATACAAGAAACACAGGCAGGCGACTCTCCCTGATTATGAATCTGAATCTGTATCTGTATCTGTATCTGAATCTGAGATGGCCATAGTAGAGCTCCCACTGTAAAGCAGCGACCATCAATCTCTGCTCGCGCTTCTTCATCTGGTTGATTATCCGGACTCGGAATCGGACTTAGACTCACTCGGACTCCGACTCGAGCTCTAGTTCGGGTATCCAGCTGTTGACCCACACTTGTTGACCCACGCTCATTCATCAAAATCTGCGTTCGACTCGAGCCGAGACAATTTGAGCGCCATTTTACATTGTTAACTTAACACCCCGCCCCGCCCATTCCGCATCCTACTTCCAGCCCACACTCTAGTGTGCACTGTGCACTGTGCTTCAGTCACGTTCCGTCCGGTTAAGTGCATTCACAACAGGCACAACAGGCATCGAGCGCCCTTGTTCCGCACCTAAGTCAGATAGCTTTAAGTGCTGCCCAGTCTTGCCCAGTGGACTCACCTTTTCGAGCGGCACCACTAAATTACGTCTGTCCAGTGGCACAGCGGGCGTACCACTCGCAGCGCCACCACCTGACCCACCTGGCCCACCTGGTGCGACCCTCTTAGCAGCTGCTGCCCCGCCACGTCCTGGACTGGCGCCACGCCCAGCGCCGGCCATGCCGCCCACGCCGCCGCCGCGTCGATACTTGGGCACATTCTTGTCACGTAACTCAACTTCGAGTCGGAGTATTGCGTTGTTATTTTCCGGAAGATTGATGTTCAGATTATTATTACCACTGGCCATGGGATGGCGGCCATGGCCAGGGCCAGGACCAGGGCCAGAGCCAGCCACACCGCCCGCCGGCTCAGTTAAAACATTATTTGAAGTGCCTTTTGAGTAAATTGAAAGTTGATACAAGTACTAGAGACATTCACACAGTTCCTGTCAACCTAAGCGTATAATAATGGATCAAAATTGTGCGACGTGAGACATGAGTTGTTCAGGGTCAGGACAGCATTGCAATGCTTGAAAGCATCGCACTTGTGTTATAATGGCAATGTCAGAATGTTGTGCATAATTCACATGTAAAAGCCAATGAGCGGAAGTAATTATAAACGTATAGAAGAAGGCATTGAATCAGCTCCTAAATATTGATTGACTTTTAATAAAGTTCATAATCTTCATAAAAATTATTAAAATATTAATCGAAAATTAAATTATAAAATATATAACATTAAATTATAAAATATTTGTTTGGCTTTTAATATAGCTTATAATCTTTATTAAACTTTTTTTTTTTAAATATTACTATTAGAATATAAAATAATTAATTGACATTTAATAAGGATTAGAATCGTCATAAAATTATTAAAAACTTAATTCTAAATAACAAAATATAAAAGAATTAATTCACTTTTAATAAAGTTTATAATTTTAGTGCAAAATATTAAAATAACACCAATATTTAAATATAACATTTTTAATTGACTTTTAATAAAGTTTATAATCTTAAATAAAATTATTAAAATATGAATCCCAATGTTGAACCTTGCATATATAAATATATGCAAGCAAATAGGTAGATGGAGAGGCATAACCAGATTTAGCCTGATTTTACTACTCTCCAAGTCAAAGTGTCTGCCACTCTTTATCAGCCTATTATACTCATTAAAGAAGGTTAATGAGTATATTTGAAAGGACAGCAACTTTCGTCCGTTCTTCTAAAGACAAACCATTTCACTGTAATTGAAGCTAGAGTCTTGGTATTAGAGAGTAGAGAGCATGGCTTCTCTACACATAACATCAAAGTCAATCAAATTGAACTAACATAATGAAATGAATGTATGTCAGTGTGAGTGCATGTTATCTGTCAAAGCACTCGACATTCTTATAGAATAAACAAAGCATAAAATGAAATGAAAAATTTTGCGAAGCAGTCCAATTACTCAAGCAGTCATAATAACTAGAAAGAGAAAACGGACGTAATCAAAGGGTATGGACAAAGCAACGACACTTTTAAGCGGACTTGGCACTCGACTCTATTCACTCACTTACACGTATTCACTCCCACTTATTCAGTTCGGGTTGATCTCGGCTGAGTTTTGTGTGTTCTACCATTCTTATTCGTCTTTGAGTCTCACTCAATGCATTCTGAACATTTTTTTTTCTCTATATATACAGATCTCTATAAAATATTCTCTTTTAAAAATAACATTAAAATTGTCTGTTTCTTAATCACTTCAAATCATTAAATTTAATCATTTCTGTTGCGTTGGAGTTGTAAGAGCCTATCCTCCTTCTTTCTCTCTTTCTCTCTCTTCTATCTCCATATTGTACACCTACTTACTAAATAAAGACATTGACAAATTGAAATTTTAGGCGGTTGGATGTTGTTGTTATATATATATATATCAAACAAAGAAAGCCGTAAGCTCCATTTCAACCCACACACAGTCGCTAGAGTATTGCCACAAAATGAAAATAAAATGGGTTGAGATATTTGCTGAATTTTAATGAAATTAAAATTAGATCAATTATTAATTTGAGTTCTTATACAATTTGCATATAATAATACATATATATTATTAATATTGCATTTTAATAACCAATTTTAAATGAATATAAATATTGTATTAATAAAATTTGAGTTTTTTGTTGGTGTAGACTCGAATCAATCAAAAAATTAAAATAATAATTTTAGCTTTTGTTCATACATATTTACTTATTTGATTATTTATTTGATTATCTGAATTTATTTATTTGACATTTCAATATCAAATTTCAATTAACCAAAGCAAATAAATCAATTTAAAATTTTTAAAATATTTATTCCATTTCTAAGTGAAAATAATTTATAATATTAAATTCCTATAAAGCCAAATAATAAAATAGTTAGTCGTGTTATATCACAGCGTGAAACTAAAGCTCTTTAAACATTTAACAAATTGCGACACAGTTTGTTTAATTCCATATAATTACACGATTTATTTTCTAATTAGCGAAATTTGTTACGCATTAAGCATTTTATAAATATTTGCTTTTCGTTTCGTTTCGCGAGCCTAGGTAGATTTTGTGCTATATTTAAATAGCAATTGACCGCAGAGCTCTGAATAGCAGCGAGTGGCAATAATTAAATTGATGGCTTAAATTCAACAAAAATAGCCAATGTTAATTATATAATTTATGCAACAGTTTGCAAAGTGAGAGAGAGAGAGGTGGGGGAGGCTAATTTCTAGCTGCTATACAAACATAATTTAATAATTATTTACTATTTATTTGCGGCCCTATTGTCCGATGAGTGTGGAGCCCGCAAGCTCTATTTGAGCTAAATAAACAGAATTGGCAGTCAAAAATCAAATCAAAGCCCCACAGAAACCACACAAGGAATCCCAATTTATTATGCCTAATGCAGAGGGAGTGAGACGCAGGCAGACAGACTGAGAGAGAGAGAGAGAGAGGGAGAGAATGGGAGTGTGAGTGAGAGAGTGATGCCATATAAATCCCCAGGCATTGACAAATGCCAAAATAGGGCTTAAATGAGCTTTGGGTAGGGCAGAGCATTAAATTTTCCTGTGAGCCGCCAAGTCTTTGTTTCACTTTTGGCCCATTTGTCCCACAAGTAGCCAAAGCAAGTCAAAAAAAAAAAAAAAAAAAAAAAAGAAGAAGAAGTAAACTTGACTGCTGCTGCGCTTCAGCCTGCCTGTCGGGCTACTTTGAGGACTTTGCAAATTTCTGAGAACGCTTCGGCATGGCATTGAGCCCCCTGATTTATGTCAGACACCTCTCCCAGCCCCGCCCACTGTTGCGATGACTTGACACAAGTATGGATGTACATGTCAAGTGGCAGTGTTTTTGTTTTTTTGTTTTTTTTTTTTTTCCTCCTCTTTGATTGCTGAAAGTTTCACGCTGTTTATTGCTCAGATTTGCATTGGGAAAAAATCATTTATTTAAGTTCGACTAACTAAAAGTTTGTTCACGCCCCGCAGTCCTAGAGTCCTGCTGGCCCATTCAGAAAGTCATAAGCTTGGGGCTCATTATCAGACGGCATCTAGCCATGGTGACAGACAAAATTAATGATGCCCATCGAAAGCATTTTGCTTTTTGTATGAAAGTATTTAAATAAGTATTTGATTAATAATAGCAGCGAGCTTAGCTCAACGCCAAGTCGAACCTGATAAGTTGACATATTTTATTTTTTTATCGGTTGCGCTGGGTTTTTGCTGTTGTCGGCTTCCGTTTCATAAATTATGGTTTCCGATCGGCTTTTATTGTTTTTGGCTTTGATTATGATTAATTAAATGCCATGCGAGCCCTAATGACAGAGGCCGATAAAACTTGTTCAAGCTATAATCAAATTGTATTCAAGATGTTTTATATTTTTGCCAAATAATATTAATATCTAAAGTGTATTTTAGAACTCGAGTGTTTTATTATGAAAATATCAAACACGTTGAGTGGTTTATTACAAAAATATGAAATATTAATTTTTACTTGAAATAAAATATTTATTTTGAATATCATACAATTAATGCCTAAAATAATTTAAAACCATTTCAAAATTAAATGAACAATTTTAGAGTGCATTTTTCTTTTCTCATATTTACCACCTCTTTTGGTACAATTCTTTTCCTTGTTTTTTTTTTTTTTTTTTTTTTTTTTTTTTCATTGGACTTTTGCTAATTAACTCTCAAAATTATTTGAAATGAAAGAACACACGAGATGAGCGCTTGCTTCAGTTGGTAAATTTAACAAATTAAGTTGATCCACTTATGCAAAATGTGATTAAGCTCTATTGCGTTTGCTTTGAGCCTGCTAGCTTATCTGATGTATGTGTGTGCGTGTGTGTGTCTGTGTGTGTGTGTGTGTGTGTGCAAGCTCCACTTTGGCAGGTTAAATTTTAACCTCTCATCTGGCTGGGAACTTGATGTTTACACATCCAGCTTGAGAGTAAATAAACATGCCCGAGCCCCACTGCTCCGTTTACCGCATCCATTTCACATGCCAACACTTAACCCCACTCGGCCGGGCTAATTAAAATTTAATATTCAATTTTTAGACTGCAAACTGTTCGCCGTTGAAACCTCTTTAAGTGGACGAAAAGCAAGAGCAAGAAAAAAGAAAACAAATAACTTGAACTGTATGCTAAACAACGGCTAGTGAATACCCTAAGGATAGAGAATGAAGCAGTAAATTATTATTTTATTAGATATCAAATGCTGGATAAAGAAGTTTTTTAAATTATTTAAAATTTTTTGGTTAATAATTTATAATATTTTCATTTAAAATTATGTACTAATCTTCTAAATATATTTTTTTCAATCTCGAATCATATACCAAGATATCACCTTTTGACTGATGTATCAAAAATTATTTTAATTTATTTTCTTATATTATTTATTTATGTATTATTTCATTAGGACAGTTAATTATCTAAACATTATCTAAAACTACTAATCTTCCTAATACTAATTTTCCACGATATCAGTTTTGATTTTGCTGATTAATTGCTGTTTACGCCTATATTTTATAATTTTTTTTTTTTTTATTCTAAATGAAAAAAAAAAAACTTTTACCCGAAAGATTTATTATTAACTTTAAAAAATTACAAAAAAAAATTTACAAAAAATATATGTATATATATTAACTGAACTTTTCACAAATATGTAAACGTTTATCGGAGTCAGATAATTACGAAAACCTAAAATATTTTATATTTAAATTGAGTATATAAAAAATCTAGTATGATTCTTCTTTGTAAAGTTAAAGTTAAAATAAAGTTATCTCATCTTGATAATAAATAAATGGCATATATTAAGATAATCCTTTTTATGTGTGTTAGAATAAAAATGAGTAAATCCTTATCAAAAATTGACATAGAGCATACGATATAAATATGTATATGATATGATATATGATTTTTATAGACTATTTGACATCGTAGATGCCATATCGGATACCCTCTCAGAGAGAATGTTGGTTAAAAAAAAAAGCATACCACTCTGGCGGATGCATGTGAGTTAGTGGATAGGTGGGCGATGGTGGCGGAGGTTGGTTTCTGTTGTGGGCAAATTTCGAGGCAGGCTTTTAGGCGCCGAGAGCAGTTTTACACTTTTACGATGTCATAAAATAATTAATAACGCCACTAAACAACATAATTACGCGCCTAAGCACCAACGCATGCAGGCGCAGGCAGGAAGCGGAAGTGGATGTGGATGTGGATGTGGATATGGATATGGATGTGAGTGTGGTTGTGGCTGTGAAGGTGAATGTGAATGTTTATGTGGATGTATGGATGGACATGTTGGGCCAGCAGGTGGAGGAGCATGTGTGAGCCAATGAAGCCAAGGGAGCCAGGGGAGCCAGGTGAGCGCGGGGGTTAAAAGCAAATTTGTAACTTTCTATTTAATTAGCGCTCAGAGCTTATTCAATTTCAGCTTGCTTCGCCTACTTACCGTAAATCAGCTCGCGCTCAAAGTTCGCTGTCGGCACGACGATTAGGAAGACAACTCCGGGCATTTTGTGGAGGATAGCTCCCACGGTCCGTGCGCGGCTCCTTCAAGCTGATCTAGGGCAGGGTATGCAGCCAGACTGTGAACGCAACTGTGAACAGCAAAAAGCAGACAAGTGCCCATTTTAGTTTACAAATTGTATGCTTTAAAAGGGCCGCGAGACGGCGACGGCGGATGGTGGCATAGAGGGAAAATCCCTGGTCACAGCCAGCTGGAGTACATTAACATAAAACCGTCCTGCTGCTAGGCTTAATATAGACACACCTACACACACACACACACCCAACAACAACAACAACAACAGCATTAAAACTTGGCACTGTTCCTAAGCTTTAGAGTCTTCAATGCCAAAATGCATTCTTATCACTTGACGTCGCGACAAGCGAGAGGAAATCGTAAAGTTAGTAGTACAAATGCGGACTTGGTGATAATTTAGTACTTTTTCTATGTACTACTACTTCCTAAGTTTACTGTTCATTCTTATTATTATTGAGCCACGTGTAAATAGCAGACTACTATTACTATTACACAGATACTAACACTACTGTACTACACCTACTACTGTTACTACTAATATGGTACTGCAAGTACTACAACTACTTTGCTACTCTATACTAATACTATATTCTGTTACATTACTACAACTTTTACCTCTACAAATTTTAGTACTAAATCACTACTATTTCAACTACTACTTTTTCTACCATGCTACTATTAGTTCTACTGCTAAATTACTACTACTAGTGCTACATCCACTACTATATTGCTAGAGCTACTACTACCAAACTACTACAGGTTCTACTACTAAGCTCTTGGCGTAATATCAGTAATTCTACCTCTTCTAGTACGATATTACTAAAACTTTTACTTCTAAGCTACTACAGCTTCTACTGCTAAGCTACACTACACTACTAATTAATTGTTCTATTTATAATACTGTACTAATTCTACGACTGTACCACTACTAATTCTATTTCTGCAACATTACTACTAATTCTACTACAACTGTTCTTCCTACTTTGCTATACTACTACTAATTCTACTACTATACTACTGCTCTTTTACTGCAACTACTACTATTGACCTACTACCACTTTTACATCCTTTGGTGTCTGCAATTTCATTTTATCCCTAACCTTGTTCCGCAAAAAAAAAAAAAAAAAAAAAAAAAAAAAAAAAAGACAATAAATAAATTTTAGAGAGGTCACAGAGAAATGCAATCATTTGCTGCTATAAATGTCATTAAGTCATAAAGAACTCAGCCATCTCAAATGAGAATTGCAGAGAACGGCCTCCCGCACAAGCCAAAGCCAGACCAATTAAAGAACCCTCGAATAAGTTTGCCTTCATTGTCGGCTCTAAACTCTTAACTTTGTTGCAGTTAAACCCTATTAGGCAGCAAGTTTGCAGCCAAACGAATATTTGGCAGTTTTGCAGGAACCAAAGCAAAGTTGGCATCAAATGTCGTACTTAGCTCTTGGTAGTCCCCGAGCGTATTGTATTACAAGCATTGCCAAACTGACGCCGTAAAAGAGTATTGTTTTCTTCGCACAGCTTCACAGAAATGAGAAAAAAAGAGAAATAAAAACAGCTTAATTAAAGTAGCTGCTGTCGTTTAAATTTGCATTCACTTAACTCTTCTCTGCTGCATAATAATTATTTAACTTTGCGAATTTACATTCGAAATGTATTACCTTTTTTTTTTATTTTCTTATCCCTCAGACACTGAATACATTTTCTGCAATCTGTTTCACACAGATTTCGCGTTGAAATTTAAATATCATTAGCACAGAGTTCAGATTGAAATGATGTGAGTGGTGGGCAATTGGAAGCCCAGGTGTTGTATATTATTCCTGCCAAGGGTTATCTAATTTTCTAATTTAGTTTCTTATTTAGAGTTAATAATTGACACAGATTAATGTTTTCTATAATGTCAGCGTAACTCTGTTATTTCCCCATGTTAAGAGTATCCTTATGTTAGCTTAACATTGGCTTTAGCAGTGTCTGTTCAGATTGAAATGATTTGAGTAGTAGACGGTGGGAAGTCCAGGCGTAAAATATTATTCCTGCCGAGGGTTGAGAGAATAATCGTTTTTATCTCATTTTTTAATTTACTTCCTAATTTAGAGTTAATAATGCCAGTCTATAATGCCAGCTTAACTCTGTTATTTCCCCGTGTTAAGAATACCCTTATATTAGCTTAACATTGGCTTTAACAGTGGCTCTACAGTCGCCAGCCGGGAACTTTAATCTGATTGTAAATTTTTATAATTTGAGCCCGTCCCTTGCCGGCCGCTGTGCGTGAAAAGTTTTTAAGCAAACAAAGAGCATTTTTTCACATTTTTCCTTTCCTCAACTTGAAACATTTTCCCCAACAGGCGCAAACAAACGTCCACTCCACAGCCGGTCAGCGCCTGTTCGTTTGCCAGTTCCATCGTTGCTCGTTGCTCTTTTGGGTCTTTCCTGCAGCCTCTTGTTCACTTTGGATGCCACTTTTCAGCGCATTGACTGCTGTACATTATTCAATCTTATTTTTTTGCTTTTTAATTCGGCACTTGCAAGTTTTCATTTTGTGTGCAATATTTATAAAAAGAAAAACAACAACAACGCAAACGCCCTGAGCCAACACAAACCCCTTTCATATTAACCGAAAATATTTATTTTCTTGCATTCTTCTTTTCATGTTCTGTTCTTTTCTTTTTTTCTGCTTGTTTGTTTCTACTGCACTTTCTTGATTAATGCCATAACGATATATTTGCATAAGCCGCGAGTGAAGTCGACGACATTGACGTTCTGAAGGGGCTGAGGTGGCGGTCCATTTCGGACTTTACAATCAAGTGCGAGCGTGTGATTTCTGGTCCACAAAGCAGCCCCCGGGCAGGGCTCTAATTAGTGTTGGAAAATTGCATTACTTTTGCACTTGTGCAATATAATTACCAAGTGCACGGGAACAAAAAAAGCTATTATAATAATAATAGCAAATATTAAATATATATATAAAGAAAAAACTAACGTTCGAAGAGTCGTTCAACCGACTCAAGGACCTTCCTCGAGCACGTCTCGAAGGCGTGAACAAGAGGAAAATTCCGTAATAACTACCAATAAGAGGCTGATTGCCGCCACGTCTCGCATAGTTTTAAGTTTTGCCAGGCGGTCCAACCACTTCCTCTTCCATTTCCCCCTTTCTCCTCACTTTCTTCTTGCTCTTCAATAATTGTGTTTTGAAGTCGACTTCTTAAAGCGTTCGCTAAAGCGGAAAAGAACAGGGCGAGGCAAGTTTACTTTAGTTGTCAGCTTTGATTTCATGGCTTTCCTCTTCCAGCTGGGTCTTAAACATTTTTCTAGCTGCTTTTTTTTTTCCTACTCCCAGCTGCCACATTTTACAATGCTTTAATGTTGTGTTAATTAAAAGAGCTAATTGGTTACGTCGGCATCATGTCGAAAATATGTGTGTGCCTGCATTGAGTGTGGGAGTGTGCGAGCGAGTGGCCCTGTCTGGGAGCATTAATAGTTTTACTCTACTCTACGTTCTTGTCAGCTGTGAGCATAGAAAGACCAGAGTTGCATGTTGGCCCCGACCATGCATTTGTTTTAAAGAATATTATGTATTTGATCTAAATTCCAATGCTCCCTCCATAAATGATCACAATTTCTCTATTTATGTTAACCCTTTTCTTCGAAATCTTGTTTTGAATTTTTCCATTTCTTTCTAAGTATTAATTTGTATTTCTAGCTCTTGTAATCTGTCTTCCTCATACTAGTATTTATTCCTAATTCTTTGTCGCTTTCCCTCAAGCTCTTGATTTCTCTTCTATTAAGTCTCTCTTGTTCTTCTTCTCTCTCTTGGTCTATAAGACTATCTCTTTCTCATTTTGTGTTTGTTTCTCTACATCTTGTTGATATCATCTCTCACGCAGTCTCATGGTCTATCTTCCTTACTTTCGCAGCTTCTCTGGCTTCTCATTTCTTAAAAACTTCTTCTTCTTCTACTTCTACTTCTACTTCTACTTCTACTTCTACTTCTACTTCTACTTCTACTTCTACTTCTACTTCTACTTCTACTTCTACTTCTACTTCTACTTCACTTCTACTTCTGCTTCTGCTTCTACTTCTGCTTCTGCTTCTACTTCATTCTACTTCTGCTTCTGCTTCTACTTCTACTTCTCTTTCTACTTCTGCTTCTGCTTCTGCTTCTACTTCTCTTCTACTTCTACTTCTACTTCTACTTCTGCTTCTACTTCTGCTTCTACTTCTACTTCTGCTTCTCTTCTGCTTCTGCTTCTGCTTCTCTTCTACTTCTACTTCTGCTTCTACTTCTACTTCTACTTCTACTTCTACTTCTATTTCTACTTCTACTTCTACTTCTACTTCTACTTCTACTTCTACTTCTACTTCTACTTCTACTTCTACTTCTACTACTTCTACTTTATTTATTTCTACTTCTAACACTACTTCTACTTCTTCTACTTTATCTTCTTCTTCTTCTTTCTCTTTTTATTCTTCTTTCCTTAATCTTTCTTACTATGCAACTCTACCAGATCTCTTCCTACTCTCACGCTACCCCTATCTTCTTCTGACTTTAATTTTCATTCCTATCGTCTCTCTTACTTCCATTATATTCCATTCTTTTTAATCCCTTTTCTTTCCCACACTTGAAAAAATGCTATAATTTCTATGAGCTGCCTATTTCTGACTTACAACAAAGTTAATCTCTATCCTGCCACTCTATCATATTTATTGTTATTCTTTAATCACCTAAGAACGAATAATACTCTAGTAAACCTAAATTAAATCTGACTATAAAAATCTCTATTCAGATTTTTATACAAGTGTGAATATCTGGCCTTTTTGAATAGGCCCTTTGGTAGATTGCGAAGTATTGTGCTCCGGACTAAAGTATTTTAAGCCGTATCCTTTGCATTTTCTTTTGCTGGTTTTCGGAACAGGAAGCATTTTTCCTCATTTTTAAGGTAGTTTTCTGCTTGGACTTCCGCTGCATCTTCCTATTTTCGGTGTGTGTGTGTGTGTGGAACATTTTCACAATTTTGCCCCTCTGCAAATGCCTCAAATTGCATTTGTGTTGGTTTTTGGGCTTTTGGGTTTTCGCTTTATGCTGCTCTTGTGGCAAATGAAGCGTTGCCGCATTGCCCTTAACTTGCCAAGTTAACAGCAGTACTTCTAATGACAGTTGCCAGCTTGAAGCTAGGCGAACGTGTGCACCACACTAACTTTTCCCCATACTCGACTCGACTGCCTGCGAATATTTCGAATATTTTCTTCTTCTTCAACTCTCTTTTTTTTTTTTTTTTTTTTTTTTTTTTTGACTTGTTTATATGAGGCTCTGTGCTAGTAAAAAGAGTCGTTGACTTCAGAAGCCTGCCCCATGAAGTGGAGATAGCTCAATAATATTAATATTTAAGTAGACAGTTTTCGCTCCCTGGTGCCGTACAAACACAAAGTTTAGCAAAAAACGAAAAAACGAATACAAGTTTCGGCCAGTGCAGTGACCCCCGCAATGGGGCCGCCGCTCAGCGGAAGCAAACGACTTTAACATAATACATAATCATTTAAATAAGGCTAAGCCACACCGCACTGACTCCACCTTATGACACACGACGGTGCAACAGCAGAGAAAGATGGAGAAAGAGAGAGAGGGAAAGAGAGAGAAGGAAGAGGAAGAGCAGAGAAAAAAGCATAATGAAAAGTTTCGTTAGGCAAGAGCAAAATTGCATTTCATAGCCAATTTCGAGCGAGCAAAGGAACAAGTTTTGAACTTTAAGTTGGCCAGATAAGAAGAGAGCCAAAGAAAAAGTATTCCAAGAGCTTGAAGTTTACCATAATTGTTTACCCTAACGATCAGGCATTAAATTCATTTTTCATACTAATTCTTGCTTTTAATAAGCACACAAGAATTATTTCCCTAGCGAGTTATTTGGAACGCCCAAAGCACTATATGTGGACCGGCAGTAGATGGAATATAAAGCGGGAAATTAATTCTATAAATTTTGTATTAAATATTTACTTGACACAATTTAGCTATAATAGAACTTGTAGATTTTTCTATGCAATTCTCATGAGTAAGATTTTTCTTATATGAGATTTCTGAGCTGCTTTGCTTCATATAATCTAGAGACTTATTTCGAAAGTCTTGCACTAAATATTTGAAATTTCCTTTTGTTAAAAAGATAACTTGGACAGTGCTATAAAAACATGTTTAACACCTCTCTATGCGATTCAAATATTCCATAAAACTTTATGGCTGCCATGTCCGGTGTTTACGGATTTTTATCTCTTCATACATAATAATATTGTATATAATATATAAATATACAAATATTTAATATATAAATATAAATTATATTAAGGTTTTTTGGATACATATATAAATATATTATACTTATGTTTTCTGACTCACACCCAGAATTCTCAGCCCACTTTGGGTATCCCAGGGCAATCTGTTGCCGTATTAACATATTACTTTTTACCTTTTACGAAACGTATTCGGATTCTCATTCTCATTCGGATTCGCATTGACATTGTATTTTTTTATGCGTGGCAAATGCTCAATGGTCCTATTGACTAGAATATATTATCATTTATTTCGCAAAGAGTTGTGGCATGGAGAACCACGAGGCTAGTCAAACTGGTTGGTTGGGCAATAAAAATCAATGCCAAAAGCTCAGCAGTCGAGCTGCTGTCAATTTGCTCTAATGGCCCCCAGAGAGCTCTGCGTCCTTAACGGTACATCCGAATTGATAAGAGACCACTTCTATTTGTATTTGCAGCTTTCTCGGGTGCTGCGCAATTTCAATATAACCAAGATAAGCGATCTGGAATTAATATCGAATACCACGGATCGTTTGGATATAACATTTCACTTCTTTGGCATCAAGGGCGACTCGCAGCGGATTCGCGAGGCCATCACTCGGATGGTCGAGCGCGGACGGATTGGCAACTTTACGCTCGTCTCGAATTTTCATCACTTCGACGAGAATCCTCCCTTAAACATGTTGGTAAGTGTATTGAATCGCAGCTCTTTAAAGTTCTCGCACTGTCATAAAAGTTTCCCATGGACATTTTTGCATTAAGTTTTCAATTGTCAAACCAATTCCATATTCCCCTGCACTGCCTTTCGTATTTCAATAAAATTTTAACATAAAACAAGTAAGAAAGCTCTAGTCGAGACTGCTCGACTACGAGATCCCCTGAACCCTTGGAGCAATAGATATTTCAATACTTTTTCGCGACTTTCAGCTTACACAAGAAACACGCACACACACACACACACGCACGTACGCACACACAGGCATACATACACACACACGCATACAGACACACATACACACACACACGCATACATACACAAACGCATACACACACACACATACACACACACATACACAAACACATACACACACAAGCAACCATGCATAAACACGCATGGGCTGCAGTGTGCGCTTACTATGAGAACTTAATTGTTTAATAACTTTTTTTATGGACGTACGATCTTCATGAAACTTTCAGATTATGATAATAACATGAATATGCATGTAATTGCCAAAGCACAAGTCTCTAGTATTTGAAATACGTTTTTTACAAAAGTGAGGGTGAGGGGGTGAATTTAGAGGTGGGGGGGTAAATTTTAACAAAAACCGAAATTGTATAAATTGCATATAAGCATACATTAAAAATTTGGAGACTCTAGCAATAAAGGTGTAGAAGATATAATTTTATAACTGGGTTTCGATAAGGTTTTTTATCGATAAAAAAGATCGAGATGAGTTATCGATTTTTAATGATAAACTTGATATGCGCGCTGTAATTACGGACATTTTAAAAAAAATTTGAAGTCTCTAGCTCTTATATCTTCTGAAATCGACGCGTTCATACATACGGACAGACGGACAGACGGACAGACAGACGGACAGGGCCAAATCAACTCAGCTCGTCACCCTGATCAAGAATATATATACTTTGTGGGGTCTGCCACGCCTCCTTCTCCCTGTTACATACATTTCAACAAAACCATTATACCCTGATTTCCCATTGAAAATGGGTTCAGGGTATAAAAAAACGTGTCAAGTAAATAAATTTACAATTATTCAGTTTTTAAAATACTTTTCGCGCTGACAGCTGAATGGAATTCAATCAAGGCGTGAGTTCTGCTGAATGCAAATATATATAAATTGTATATATGTATGTTTATGTGTGACTCTGTCAATTTACAAGAGATAATGTTTTTATAAAAACTACAAATATATATATATATGGACATATTCATATATGTAGATATATCCTACTTGCATTTCCGTCATAAATTAAATATTAATTTATCGACTCATCGCCATAAAAACAATAGCAATAAAAATAATAACAATAGCAAATGCATTGGCATAAATGTTTGCCGCATTTGCCACTTGCCAATTGCCACTTGCCACTTGGCACTTGGCCAGCAACAGGGAAAATAAATAATTATTTATTAATTGTGGCAAGCAGCTGAACAATTGCCCTCATCAGCTGGCCCCCGTTGGCCCCCATTGGCCTCCGCTCGCAATTAGGCTGCATTAACTTAACCGACAAGCCGGAAACCTCAGGGTGCGCCCGAACCGAATTTGTGCTGCTCGGCATGAGAGGCCGTGGGACCGGAACAGCAGCTACCTGTCTCACCTGGTGCCCCCACTCACTAACACCCACTCACTCCCGCTTAATTAGTCAACATTGTGTGAACTGAAACAACGCTACGCTCTCATTGCAGGACTTGAGCGTCAATCAGCCGCAGGCAGCTGTGCGCGAGGACAGCGAATTCATCATATCCTGCACGGCCCAGGGCTCCTCTCGCATGCAGTTCCAGTGGTTCAAAGACGGCGCCGCCGTCAATGCCACCAAGGCAACGAGGTAAGTCTTAACCATAAGTTCAACCCGTGCCGCAGCTGCACCTCAAATACTTTTGCAAATTTCCTTTTTGGGGCAGACGAGCAATCACCGGGCAGCGGTCAGCGGTCAGAGGTCAGAGGTCAGCGGGCTCAGCTGTCTCTGTGTGAAATCGAAAACTATAAAGCAAATGCTATGCTTCAAATATGCCAATTGATTGAGCAAGGCACTGCACGACTAACAAATACCCTGCACTAGACAGTTGACCTCAAAGATAAGCTTTGCTCTTTGCCTATTCATTCATTCATTTTTACAGGGTATACGGAGTCGCATACCTGCTCAGTCAACAATATTATTAAAATCCTGTCTGAAGGAGTGAACCAAAAATATATATGTAATAGCGTTTCCTTTTTTTCTCATTTCGGGCAGTTTTTCCAACACAAGTGTTCAATTTGACTTTATGACTTTTACACATCAATAAACATGACATAAAATGCCCTGGCAAAATAAAAACGGAACGGCCAAAAGGGATAAATAAGTCAGGGCGCAGATAAAGATTTGTCAGAGACGACAACGAGCGGGACGGCTGAGACAGAGAGAGAGAGAGAGAGAGAGAGAGAGTGAGAGAGAGAGAGAGAGAGAGAGAGAGATAGGCGAAGCCAGCCAAACCGCAGTCAGCCAGGACGAATGATTGATCATAAACCTTAGCGGCGCAGCCAGGCAGAGCACATCATACGTTCACCCCCACCCACTCCACACACAGCCCCCCTCTCCGGCAGCTGCTTGTGGTGTATTACATAAAAAGCATACGGCCGTAGCTAACGAGGGGCTGTTGCTTGGACGACTGAGCGCAGTTGCCTCTGCAGGTTTCTAGGGGCTTAGCCTTAGCCGCAACTAAAGGACCACGCAGCCTTGACAATTTCTGCTCATGCTGGTGGGTGGGGGAGGGGGTAGGTTGTGGGGCCACTGCGCAAGTTTCCGGATACAACGGGACTAGGCAGGCAGGAAGGGGCGCGTCAGGTGGAAAGCCAAATGGATTGAAGCGTGGTGCGATTTGTTTCGCGTGTGCGACCAAAGGTCATGCCGGCAAAACAATTCATATTGAAATAAATAGCACTTTCAGTGTATTTACATTTCGACATTTCAAAGTTTTCCCCTGTTCATAAAGCGAAAATCAATATGTGTTACGCAATGAAAAATAGGTTTAGATAATAATCTGTGGACAGGATTTAAAATAGGAAATAAGGAACTATGGTAAATAAAAATAAAAAAATAAATAAAAAATAATAATTAACATAAATAAGATCAACTTAAGTTTTATATAAATTAAATATTCTACGTGATTTGAGCTAAAAATAATTTGTCTGATTCGATTTTATGGCTTTGTATAATTCCTTATACATATACATATGTATATTTGAATAACAATTCAATAAATGACCCAGAAAAAAATGTAAAATGAAGCAGACAAACTCAGGATTCAAAAGTAATTTTACTATTTTTATTTATTTAAATGTAAATTATTTCTTGCAATATTACAATTAATTATTGATTTAAGTTATTATTATTATTATTATTATTTTTTTTTTTCTAAGAATATTTTTATTATTTTTATTGATTGAAATGAAATCAATTTTTCGTATTGCTACACAAATTGGAAATTCATAAACTGAGTTAAAGATTTGTTTATTAAAAAAAAAAAAAAATGCAATAGAGAAACTCAAAACTACTATTATTAATATTTTTCATTTAAATAAAATTTACTTTTTGTGTTATTACATTATTATATCTATTATTTGTATTTATAAGGATACATATTTTTTATTAAACAATATATACATGAATACTCTACACTCTATCAGAATATTTCAACATACAGAATCGTGCAGTCACCAATTATTTAGGAATAATGCTGAACTCCTGTTTACCTAATCTTTACCTGTCTTCCTAAATTAACATTATTTGATACACTTCTTAGGAAAACAATTAATTTCCCAATTGTTTACACAAATGTTGCTTTCGTTTATTGTGAAACAAAATAGATTAAATATTAGATGAACTGCGTAGCCTATGTGAGCAACTGTTTAGATTATTGACTGAACGAAATTAACATTCTGTGGCAATTTAATGTCGAAGAGTATATGAGTTCACCTATTAACGAAGGTGAAGAAAAAAAAAAAAAAAAAAAAAAAAAAAAAAAAAAACCATTTTAATCAGGATGCTGAGCTGATTAAATATATTAAATTAATTATTTGGTGAATTTGGTAAATTTGGGTTTCAGAATTATATAAGCATGTCTAGAAATCCAAGATATATTTTTTTATATATATATTTATTTTTCAATAAAATCTCGTATATAAATTAAGAGGAAATAAATTTACATTTACATTATTATTTTACTTTTAGCCTATAATTTCTATAAAAATTTAAAATATTTTTTTTTTTTTTTTTTTTTTTTGACAACTTTCCTATTATTTTCAGCCAAAGATTTGTACAGAGTATTTTCAAGTCTGTTGCGCTCAACTTCTGTTTAGGCTCGCTAAAAGCTCTCAGGAAAATAAAAAAGAAACGAAAAACATCTGAACGGCACACATTAGCCAAACATTAGATGTTTGTCTGAGATTCCGCCGTATAATAGCTTCAAAGGCTTATCAAATTGAATGAAAATGTCCCTTTTTAAAGGGAAACACAAATACATATATGTATGTATTCGTATATTAAATAAATATAGACAATACATATATGCATAGATAATATGCATAAAAACAGTTTATTTCTTAAATTGTGCCAGATATTCATGAGACACTTCTAAGGCATTTGCCGAACTTGGTAAAGTTGATTTATGTATTCGTCTAGTCTGTCTGCGGTGGCATGGGGCATGTAGCACGTGGCATGTGGCATGTGGCACATAGAGTGTATGAAATGGGTGTGTCGGGTCCTTGCCCCATCATCATCTCCATCTTCTCCAACCCGCATCGCAAAGAGTGCGCACGCATTGATGCGTAAATAATTAGAGCTGTACGGAAAGCCACAAACACATGTTCCCCAGACCGGGTGCAAAATATGAGTAAATATTTTAACTAAAGTCAAGTGAAGTCATTCATTTGGACATTTACTAAGTTCACATTACACAAGCGACTAAGCATTGGGTCACTCCCGCACGAGGGCCGCTGACCCCTCCGGCTCCGGCTCCGGTTCCGGCTTCGGCTCCGGCTCTGACTGCTGACTCTACTTTGCGTACTAAAATAACCGGAAGTAAGTGAATTTTGAATGCTTGATTTCACTTGGCATTGGGCCGTGGGGCGTGGACCTTGAGCCAGTTTGGCTACTAGAAAATAGCCAACCTATTGGGGCAGTCAATCTTAAAGCGGCTTTGCATATGCGCCAGACACGCCCATAATTCCACTTTAAGTGGCAACAAACCAATGCGGACCCAGTTGGCAGCTGTTCAATCAAGGCCAGCAGAGCAGCAGAGCCTCGGCCTGAGCATCAGCTGCTTGTGCGGGATAATTAATGCAATTACTTTCCAATCACGTCGCTAACGCATCCCTCAGCTATCACAACTTAGCGAGGGCCGCCACTTTGATTAACCCAGCCCCAGGCCAGCCCTGTTCCCCTACACTCATATGTGTTTGCCTAAGTGTGTGTGCGTGTGTGTGTGTATTGCAATGCTGTCATTAATTTTGGCTCTAATCGTGCCGCCCTCAGCGTGGTGGGAAAATTTCTGTAATTAGTTTTGGCTACACAAATATTTCGCATTCGCAGAGCTCGTTTATGTTTCCGATACAGAAATTACCTTTTCAGGTGCGAAATCTGCTCCGATTGGCAATCAAATGTATTTGCACTCACTTAAAAAGCTCAATTTTTAATTAAATCAAATCAAATCACTTTTTTCAACTTTTCAATTTTTTTTCCCCAACTCCGAGTCGAGCTAGGTCTGTGCAAATCGCTTTGCGAATCGAAACGAACTGAATGCAAACTCTTTTTTGCTGACTGCCAAAGTTGAAAATTTGCTCTAAGAAACTTTTACGATTTTTCTTTTCTTTTTTGTTAAAAATATTTGTTTTATCACAAACTATTGTTAATTTCTGAGACATGAGCAAATGGAACTAGAAAAACTTTTGAAAGAAACCTGCGTCATTTGCATTCAGCTGACGAAATTAACAACATTTGGGCTGGTATATAATTATGCCCAGTCATAGATGTTTGTAAATATTTTCAATTGGGGGTGTTTTACTATTGAATTTCCATAGGCATTTTATAATATTTCATATAAAAATGGAGATATTCAACAAGTGAGCAGCAATCAGTTCTGAGAAAATCTAATAAACTTCTGTATTTGTATTTTTAAAATATAAATTCATATTCGATATTTGATATATGCATATTCATAAAATAGATTCATATATCAATAATTGATTAGTCGAGTCCTCGTGGTCTTTATATAATATAAGGGTTATATTGTGTTTAACCCAATGTAATTTTGTTAGGAGACCCTTCAATGTATGACGCATTAAAGGAATGCCTGTACCAACTCAAGTCCAGCTCACTTGTGCAAAAAAAAAGGTTCTCTATAAATAATGGGATACTAATTAAATACCTATAATTTCAATCTACTCCATTAGATATATAATCATGTATATGTACATTTAACCCACTCTCTAATAACATTTTTAAAATTTCAACAATTGACATTTATATTATAACTATATACATCACACATACTTCATGTCTAAATACCTCCCTACATCATATATATAAATAAGAGTCGCATCAAGTCTTAGCCTAGAGACTTTTGCTCCATTCAATGAACTATCGTATTGTCTGACGCTGCTTATGCTGTTACACTTTTAATTTCGTTGAAGTTTAATCATCGTCGTCATCTAAACGCTTGCTCAAAAAACTTTTGCCCAAGTTTATAGAGTTTTGCGACAAACCCATCAGCAAGAACTTGCCCCGCCCCCACCCATTCTCCGCCCGCTCAATTTTCGTGTAAAAACTCTCCAGTTGCAGCTGAAGGGGACAATGCGCTCCGTCATTCAAGCTGAGCGAAGCTTTAGTCACTTTTGGCTTGTTTGCTGCAAATTTGTCAAACTGTAAAGCTAACAGCGCAAATTCAATTTCAGCAGACAAGCTGGCAACGCTGGCTCAGAATCCCCCCTCCTATTGCAGTATAAGTACAATATGCTAGATATATGTATATATATGTATGTATATATATATACATAAATTTTGTTATTTTACAAATTGGCTCAACTCGGGGCCAGACACGCCACTGAAATAACTACAACAACATTCGCACTGTAAATGTCCTGACAATGTCTATGTGATATTTCTGTCTTCTGGCCAAGACTTTTTCCTGTACAATGTATGATATACAGGGTGCGCAAGACAATTTCTATTTCATTTTGGCGGATTGAACTGTCTGCTATATATTAATAACTGCATTATCTTTTACCTCAAGTTGATTAGGGGTTGAACTTTTAACAGTCAATTTCTGTTAACATACAGTAAAATATTTAACATTTTTTTAACATTTTCATTCTTTTAATTTGGTTATCAGGAATTATAATTTGTTAATCAACTTGCTTAATTTGTAGCTGAGTCTATAATATTGTCATGGCTGCCAGATTAATATGAAATGAATATATGCTAACACTGACAACAAGATTTGCTGACAAAAATTCAATTCGGACATTTAACGTGCTGAATCCATAATAACCCTTGATTAATTTCCAATGTATTACTGAATTATGCAGTCTAGTCTTTCCATATGCTATATATATATCAATCTTGCCAGATTATAATGAAATAAATGAGATACTGATTTTCGTCTTGCTGAATACCTAGCTGAATACGGAACAGCCTTCGATTCATTCGCGAAATATCATCTAGTATGACATTATGTAGTAGACAACTTATTCTGTACAATAGAATAGAATACAGCTTATTCCATACAATAGAATAGAAGCTGTTTATTGTTAATGACTATTTTCCTTGCTGAATGCATAGCTGAATAGAAAATAATACTTGCTAAAAGAGTAAAAATAAAACAGTTATTCACAAAATATATATGGCAACACTCTGCAACATAATTTGGTAGCTATAAAGCCGATGCAGTCTTTCGACTGGCTGAATACGTAGCTGAATTGAGTATAAACTTTGATGAGCCCCTGATTATACGCCTAGATATCGACCATTGAATCGCTTAACACCTCCTTAAAATATATCAACTCGTCTTTGAGAAGATCTCCAGACACTGTAGAACCCTGTATATGCTCACCACATGCGTCCGATTCACTCACATATGAGAGACGTGCCAAATGGAGGTCACGATTTTCATTAGTTCCACTTTAGCTGTCGAATGCGTAGACAGAGCAGAGAGCATCCTAGCTGAGAGCTGAGCTGAGCTGAATTGAGCAACTGTGACAATGCCACAATTAGTTGCATAAACCCGCTCGTAATGTTATTTCTGGCTGGCATTTAACGCGTTTGCCACCCATCGGGCGTCCTTTGTGGCAAATATATAAAAATAGCTGCACGGGTTGCGCCAGACAAGCAGAGTATCGATCAAACATTCCTTCCTTGGAGCTAGCTGCTCTACTTTCGGGTATTGCATGGCTAATGCTTATATGCGAATCGAGTGATTTGCTGCAGTTGCTGGCTGGGCCTGGCACCGGTACGTGGAGCATTCGCATTGGCATAGCTTTGCATAATTCGCTGGCGAGTGGTACAGACAGTTGGCCTAGCTGGGTGCAGTTAGTTAGCGAGTAAGAGTCGAGCAGAGGACAACGGTTTTTTTGGCGTCCCTTGCCAAAAAGCAACGCGTTTGCTCCAAGTGCAACGAAACCCAACACACAGACACAAACACGCACACACACACACACACACACACACACACACATCAGGCACACATCAGGCACATAGAGTAACAAAACCATGCCCATACACTGGGACTGGGATTGGGATGAGCACGAGCATGGTCATGCCGGGCCCCACTATCACTGGCCGCTGCGCCGCCACTGGTCAGCTGGTGAGCCCAAGTGCCGGCAGCGGCGCTACTACCTCTCCCACGAGATGGACGTGTGCGCGCGGGAGTTTCATCTGCAGGTGGACGATAGCGCCTGGTGTCACGGCTCGTGCCTGGTGGGCCGTGTGGTGATCGAGACGGGCACTGAGCCGGACTCGCTGGGACGGGGCACCTTCAAGGTGGTGCTGGACGTGCACCACTTCCAGCTGGCCGAGCTGACGGTCAAGGCCAAGAACAGCGACACCATCTGCGTGGAGGGCAAGCAGGCGGACGACCGGGCCGACAACGGGCAGCTCTGCATAACGCGCGAATTCACGCGCTGCTACAAGCTGCCCAGGCACTATGATGCCACCTTAGCGCGTGCCACGTTCTCGGCGGACGGCATACTCATGGTGACGGTGCCAGCACCACCCAAACTAGATGATGTCGAGCGCGTGGTGGACATCGAGCCCACCGGCAATTACTTTGGCAGCATTGCGGATCCCAGTGCTGGCAAGGCCATCGAGCAGACGGCATCCGTTGATGGTGGCGAGGCGCATCCTGCTGGCACAGCGACGGACAAATGAAGCCGGCGACGTCTGGCGGCTGCGCGTGCCTGGCCTCCTCTCTGCAAGTGGAAGAAGCGCCTCCTGCGACGCGTCCAGGCCGTCAGAGGCAATCGTTCGGCTTGAAAGAAGCTAAATCGAGTATGCGGACAACAGTCCAGAAATGATCTCACTCTCTCACTCACTCACACTGCGCACTCTTTCATGGACTAGTCCAGCCGTTCAAGTTAGCCTTTACAGTTATATTGTTCATTCCGTTTCTTGTTGTCACCTAGTGAAATTGTTGTAAACGTTATCAAATATGGCCCCCTAGAATCTCTAACTATAACATACATATATAGATATTATTATATGGACAATTAAATGTCTCTTCTCTTGGAATTTTACTTAATGCCAATAAAGGACTTTATCTTAAGCACCAAAACCAAACTGTAATGAAGTATTATTTTGGGGAAAATGTGCAGTGACATCTGCTTGATTTTACTTGTCTATCAATCTAATATGGGATTGAGATTTGATTTAAAACTATTTAAAATAGTTTTAAATTTTATGATTTATTTTCGATAACTAAAGGGAGATTTTTTGAGAGTTATAGGAAAGTTAAAAAAAAAAAAAACACACGTAAATTACAGAAAAATGCATGAAATCTTTATTTGAATCTATACAATAAATTTATAAATTTGAATTAAAATTCGTATTTATTTCAAATAACCTATATTAAATAATTTAAGAAAAAAAAACTTTATTTGCCATTTAAATTTCACCTTTTAAGAGATTTATTTTTAATTTTTATAAAACTTTTTTTTTTGTAATTGTGTGATGATTTATTTTCGAATTCAAATTATAATTGTTCTTTATTTAAAACATTTTTATGTTTGAAAAAGACTTCGAATAATATAATATATAAGTATAAATTACTTTAAGTATTTTCTTAAAATATTTCCAATAAATAAAATGTTTTTTTCTTATCACAGTTCACATACTTATAGACAGATTGATTTTCATATTTATATAGTAATATTTTATTTTTAGTTCTTATGATTTATTTTCGATAATTTCGAGCTTGTCCTCATTTCAAATATTTTTAATATTTGACAAAGTCTTGTGGAATATAATTATATCGTAGATAAATTATATTAAACCTACCTATAAATATCAAATATTTTTTTTAGAATATAGGTCTTTCTAATAAATTCGTTTTTTTTTTTTTTTTTTTTTTTTTTTTGGATTGGATTGGATTGAGTTTTCATTGGATTTTTTTATTTTACTAATTTTAATTTAATTATTGAACTTCTTATAAACTTTTTGTCTTTTAGTTTGAATTTTTCATCAATTAATAATTTGTATAACCTGATCAAAATAAATCTTTAAGTAT